ACTAGCAAGTTATGATCTTTTGGAGATCTCATATTGCCATTTCTTTCATATATTTTTGTGCTCATCGCTGTGATTTGTGCCTTTGTGAATCAAGATATCTCTACCACTTTTATGGGATGGCCTTGGTTAGCAGCTTTCTCCTAACGCTGTGTCTTTGGTTGTTGCTGTTTTGCAGGGTTGGTTTGGGTGGGCACTGTAATGTGCTTCTGTGGCTGTGGGCACAGGGCTTATCATGTCAGCAGGGAGACCCACCACGTCTGAAGACACAAAAAGTAGGGATACTCCAGAAGTTCAGGCAAGTTTGGTGTGGACCTCCCGCAGTAGACCGTGGCCCCTGTGGGTTGATGGGTCTTCAGACACTGTTGATGTTGGCTCGCCCCATAATAGTGCAGGTCTGAAGCTCTTGCCCTCTGACTGGGCTATAGCATGGGTCTAGGGGCTTCATGGGGAGAAGTGGTGGCAGGAAGTGTGGCAGTGCCCCCCCCCCCCATTTTGCTCACACCCAGTCCTGCTGGCAGTGGGTAGTCAGACAAGCTGCAGCAATGGGAACTGGGCCAGCATGGTGGGTGCAGGAGCTGTGATGTTCCTCTCTGCTGCTCCCGAGGGCATGCCTGCCCAGAAGCAGGACCTCAAACTCCCTCTTGCAGTACACACCTGGGAATGAGCCGTGGGGAGGGCTCTTCTCCCAGCTCTTCCAGCTGTAGGTGCTGGCCAGGGAACCAGGGATCTTGGGCCTCCTTGGCTGTGAGCACCCAAGGGCTGGATGACGACCAGGGCTTTTCACCTTCTAGTTCTTCCAGTGGAAATTCYGGCTGGAGCAAGCAAGAGTGGGCACAGCTGGCACCAGGCAGACTTGCTCTCCAGACCTCCTTGGGGGATGCACCGCTGCAGCTGAACGACAGCTGGAACCACAGACCTCTTTCCCCGCCCTGTTAGTGTCCGGCGCCTGTGTGGGCGCTGGGGTCGGGGGACTGCCTGGCACTGCCTTCAGTTCTGGTCCCAGCGTAATCTGCAGGCTGCGAGCCTTGGTGGGGGGACTTCCCCAGAGCTGGGATTGCTAGCACCCTGCGGGTCCAGCTCTCTGGGACTCCACTGTCCCCCTGCAGAGGGGAGGTCCTCGCTCCCAGCTGTGGAGCCAGCCCYGCTTGTGCTGGGACGTCTGTTTCTTACTGTGCTGCCGTCCCAGGTCTTCGAGTCGATAAGCTTCTGTTTTTCTCCTGTGGGTTTCCAGTGTTCTCCCAGGGTACACACAGCCATCTTGAAATCTCATGGTGTTTGTTTAGTATGTTCACAGAGCAGCGCCACCATCACACTGTCCTTTCCAGAACATTTCCATCACCCATAAAAGAAAACCTGCATTAGCCCTTCCCCCTGAAACTGATCTGGCTCCCCAGATGTGCCTGTGCTTTGTATTTAATATGAATGGACTCACAGAATAGGTAGGCTTGTGTATCTGGCTCTTCCACTGAACATAAGATATTCAGAGTTCATCCATGTTGTGGCATGTGTCTATCCTCCATACCTTTTTATGGCTAAACAATATTCCATTGTACAAATAAGCCTCCTTTTGTCTAAGTATTCTTCAGTTGATGGACATCCAAGTTGTTTCTACTTTGGGGCTCTTATGAATAATGTAGTTTTGAACATTCATGTACATATTTTTGTTTGAACATGTTTTCCAAATTCTTGGGTATGTATATACATGTAGAAATGAAATTTCTGGGTCATATGATAATTGCTTCACTTTTGGGAAGAACTGCGAAATCATTTGCCAAAATGGCTGTGCCATCTTACGTTCCCACCTGGGGTGYGGGAGGTTCTGGTTTCTCCACATTCTCACCAGAACTATTTATCATCTTTTTTTATTATAGCCGTCCTGGTGGATGGGAGGTGGTCCCACACTCTGTATTTGATTGTGTTTCTCTAATGACCTGGAGTATCTTTTTGTGTCACATTTTATAGTGTTACTTTTTAAAAAAGAAAAGGTGTTGTAATTAATTTTTCAGAATGTGTGTGTGGTTTTAGGAACCTGTGAGCCAGAACAAAAGCCTCTGGTTCTCCCCATGACTGGTGTTGCCTCTGATGAAACTGGAAGAGGTTCCAGTTGTGACTGGGTGACCAGGGGGTGAGGACGAGTGTTGACTGTGACAAACTCCTGGGGTGACAGATGTGTGGAAGGAATTATCCTGTCCAGAGAACATTCTGAATCCCAGAGGACCTCCTGCTCTGTGTTCTAATTTGTTTTTAATCTGTCTCTCTCTGCCTGTCCCTTGCCAACATCATCGCCAATTATTTCTGTCCCCTATACATGTCAGCGCACCCTCCTCCCAGGTGTTCCGACGGGGCTTCTGAGGTTTCCAGCCTCACCTGGCACCCTGGGGCCAGGGCAGCTAGAGGTCACTGCCGTGAAGCTGTCCTATTTTTCAGAAACAGAAATAGAAACCCAAAGATTATGTGTCGTGTGCGCAGCCTCCTGGTAACCGCACACAGAACCAGCCGCGCTCCTCTCATCAGATCTAGGTCTGCGTATTAAAGTGGCAGGTGGCAGTCCTTGTCTCCTCTTCTAAGGGCAGGTCAGCTCACCYACGGATAGCATCCCAGGATGTGCCGCTGCTTGTGACTCCGAGGCCTCGGGTGAGGTCCAGCTCGGGGAGACCGTGCCACGTGTGTGTGCGTCTCCTTTTGCACACCTGGAAACAGACGCAGATGACCCACTGACTGCAGTTCACGAGACTGGGGTCCACAGAGGTGGAAATCCCATTAACACACTGTACCACGAGCAGCTTCCTCTGTGTACTTGGGGTCTGCGTTAGAAATCACCAAAAGTCTCTTCATGTAGAGAGCGTGACATGTCATGCACCAAAGCTGTGTTCACGATGACGRTGCCTTTTTCACTTTGTAATTCAAGTCTTTGCACTTGTCACAGTGCCTTGCCTTCTTAGGGACGTGGGTTGGTATTTGTGCCTTCCTAGAATGACTTCTCACGGTATCTGCCCTTGATCAGGGAGGGGAGCCCCCCTGCCGCTGTCGCGGCCCTCCCTGCCTCCCCGTTGAGCTGGCCTTTCCTGCTCACCCTGACCCTGGGAGCCCGGGACAGTGGGGGCCCTGGCACACTCCCTCAGGATACTTTTAAAATAGCTTTAGCTGGAGAAATAATCGGGTGGCAGTTAAGAAAAGTGTGTGAATTCGGTCCCCAGGGGCCTAAGGGCTGAATCCTACCCCATCTGTCAAGCTGGCGTGTGTGTGTGTGTGTGTGTGTGTGTGTGGACACTTCCCAGCTTGCATTGCCACATTTTTTTTTTTGATGGCCATTTATTAGCACAGAGGACCAGCATGGCTCTAGCAGTTCTTTGCGTGTTTGTCTTGGGTGGGTGGCAGCGGGCCTGAGAGCTGTGCTCCTGGCCAGAAACGGTTGACTTGGCCAGCGCTTCCCAGGGTGGGATTGAACCCCACAGAGGCCCGGGATTCATGCTGCAGCAGGAGGCTCTGCAGCCACAGGAGGCCCAGGGGAGCAGACCTGGCCAAGGCGGGACCAGCCCCCTGGGTGACTCCCTCCCCGCAGGCTCCAGCCAGGGCTGAGGACAAGATTGGACAGCTGGAGCCTGCTGTGTCACCCCGGGGTCTGGGCTGGGGTGGTACTTCACTAACTTGTGAGGTCAGTGAACTGGCGTGTCTAACTCTGGGAGTGAAGTACACTTTGCCACCAGGCTGCCCGTGCCCCTGGAGGCTGCTGACTGGACAGTCCAGAGCGTCGCTGTGAACCCCCACACCTCAGGGAGCTGCCAGCCTCTGCATTTAAAGTCACCTGTCCTCTCCAGGTGCCAAGGCACACACGTGTAACCCCAGCTACTTGGGAGACTGAGGCAGGAAGATCGCGAGTTTGAGAACAGCCTGGGCAACGTAGCCCCCATCTCAAAATAAAACTGTTGGAAAAGGCCTGGGGACRTGGCCGTGGTCGAGGGCTTCCCCAGCATGTGGGAGGCCTGGGTTCATCCCCAGCACCACAGAACGTAAGCGTACTTGTCCTGCTGGTGTCCTGCTTTTCCATCTGCACGCTTAGATCAGAAGCGGTACCCGAGACGTCACCACTGTGGTGGTTTTTGTGGCCTCAGCAAATCCAGTCAGCACCTGAGCTCACAGGTCCCAGCAGCACTAGGTCCAGACAAGGTTCGGCTCTCTAAGGGGCTGCTTCGGGTCTCCAGGGCCAGGGTGGTGTACGCAGGGAGTGCCCYACGGACTCCCGCCCTGGCGTGAGGAGCAGTCGCCTTGCCTACTGGGTGTCTCCTCCTCACCAGGGGAGGCTGCCATCTTGCAGGTGGTGCTGTGTGGCCAGGTCTGAGGTCCCGGTCTCTCCTCTGAGTGTTGGACATCCAGGAGCAGGTTTCCTGGAGCAACCAGGCTGGGTGTCGGTGGCCAGCTCTACCTCTAAGGGTTGAATGTGGCAGCTGGGGACCATTGGGGACTGTGATATGTGTTTTCAGTCATTTTCCATTTGCTGTCTTCGGCGTGGGGCTCTTACCTGCCCCCTCCTAAAGTCCTGGCTCCCTTGGGCCGAGTTTGTGGACTTCACTGTTGCTGCTCCTGCAGCCCACGCACGGCCCCATCCTCCCCTGCATGTCACTAATTCACTGGACACAGGCAGATCCCATCACTGACCCTCTTGACTGGTCAGTAGGAGGCCTGTGTCTCCACGGCCCTCCTGTGGGAGAGGAGGACATATCTCCCCTGGCACAGTGGGCGCCTGGCTGGCCCCAGAGTCCTCTTGTCCCCTCACCAACAGAGTGCTTCTGCCTGGGGAAAACTCTGGGCAGTTACCTCATCCAGAGTGGCAGCCAGCCTGCTCCCGGCCAGGGGGCTGGAGGAGGGCCCTTCCTGGGCCAGGCCCACGCAGATGGGCGTTAACTGAACCCACCTCTCCCTGCCCTGGCTCCACGGGTCACCACAGTGGCAAGTGGAGGTGGAGAAGGCTGAGCCTGGCTTCCGACTGTCCCCCACCGCAGGTGTTCCAGGAGCTGTGGAGGGGCCAGGGGAAGACGGCTGCGCAGATCGTGTCCGAGCAGAAGCTTGAACTGCTGCARGATCCAGCGGCCCTGGAACAGCTGTGCCTCACCACCATGGAGGAGCATCCTCAAGTGGTGACTGTCGTGGGGGAGGGAGGGAGAGGGTGTTCGCACGGGGCTGGAGTGGGGGCTGCCCTGCCGGCCAGCACAGGGCCAGCCAGGTCAAGGCCAGACACCTTCCTGYGGCTTCCTGCTGCAGCCCAGAGGCGGCTCCTCGTGAGGGTGGCCCCTTGCATCAGTAAGTCCCTCACTGTTTGTGTCAGCCCTTTAGCTAAGGTCAGAAGAGAGGAAATGAGGTGAATGTTGGCACAACACAACCTCCCTTTCCCGTAAGGAAACTCCACCGTGGCGCTGACTGTAGGCGGAGTGTGTTTTGAAGGAGTATCAAGCTCTCCAAGTTCAGCCTCCAGGTTGAGCGTGGGTGACACGTGCCGCTCTCCCCCACGGCCCGTGTGCCCAGCTCTGGTTCCCAAGGAGGCCCTCTCAGGGATTAGCCAGCAGGCAGGGCTGCAGGAGGGAAGAGCTAGGGAAACACTTTGGCTTTGTGCCTTTAAGAAGTAGGAAGAAAAGCAGAAGAGAAAATTATGTGAAAATTACGGAGAACATCCTTTGACAGGAGCGTGGCTGGAAACCAAGCCATTTTGTGCAAGAGCGCAGCCCCCGCCCAGCTTGCGACAGCTAGAGAGAGCTTCCAGTGGGGGAAAAATTGCTAGCATCTCTTTCAGAATAATACCCACCCTCCCGTCAGCTTGCCGGGGACACTAACAGCTCTGTAAAGAGCTCTTGATAAGGAAAATGAGCCTGTACCGGGTCCCGCAATCTCCATCTCCCTGCCTTCTCTGCAGTGACTGATAAGGACACACTTAGTTTCAGACTCGTCCTGCGGCACTCGAGTGCAGACGCGCACACTTGCTGTTGCTGGATGGACGCTGCAGAGCGGGAGGTCAGAGTGGGTGGCCCTGGCACTTGGTAGCTATTTGATAGGAATTTAGCATCTCCTGCCTTCATCTCCCCCTCACTGGTCCCCAGCGTATGCCCCTCACTCAAATGCCTGGCAGGAGTTGCCACTTTTTAGATTTGTTTTTTGTTAAGAGAATCTTGTTGGCAGGAAGTGGGGAAGGAGAGTCTCAAGTCCCAGCAACTGGCGACTGTCACTACCCTCACCCTGGACTCGGTGATCCATCGCAGACCCCATCCTTGTGTCGTTGTGGTGACCCAGAGGAGTGTCCTGGTTCCTGTGGGCTAGCTTCTCTGGCTCTCGGAGGTCATTCATGACCCATCACATACTTTTCACATGCACTGTCACCCTCACGAGGGTTCCACTCCTTCCTCATGTCATAGGGAGGGGACAGAGAAACTGTGTTTAACTTGCAGCTGACTTAAGCATTGACTCCTCTTTTCTGTCTTTAAAGGTGATGGACGTGAAGAAGGGAAACCCCAGGGCGATCAATAAACTGATYGGCTTGGTCCGGAAAGCCACCCTAAGCCGAGCAGACCCAGCCCTGATAAAGGACATCCTGGAGAAGAGGCTGTGGTCGTGAGGTGTGTTGGAGTCCCTCTGCCGGAGGAGGACAGCGTGGCCGGACAGCCTGTGAAAGCTGCGGTCCACGTGTGGTAGGAGCTGGGATCTCAGTCCCTGGCTGGGCCACGCCTTGGAGATGGCAGGCTTGGAGTCATACGCCTGGTGCCTCCGGCAGAGCAGTAGCCATGGCCACACCCACTGCCCACAGGCCCCAACAGCGCGAGGGGCTCGCATGGCAATAACACGCTCTGCTGGGCAGGGAGTGGAGCAGAATAAAAGGCGTGCTGCTGCGCCAGGCCCTCCTCCCCGAACCTCACCTCGCTGTCCCTCAACAGCTGTCCTGGAGCCCAGCATTGCAGAAGCTGGGGATTAACAGTGTCCAAGAGAGACTGCAATTTGGATGCGGTGTATGTAGACCTAAAAACAGGTTAATGAAGACAAAAACAACAAACAAATCAGTGCCGTGAAATACATTTGATTAGGGAAGTCGCGAGACAGGAGGAAGGACATAGCAATTCCATGTTCACTGAGCAAAGTAACATTGCACATTCACCTCCCTGGGGATCCCCACGGCAAAGGTCTGAGAATCAAATAATGGGGAAAAAAAAACAGAAGTTTTCAAATAAATTTAATGAATAAAATATATATTGAAATATCAGATAAAAATTAGCTTACACTTCAAAGATGTGTAGTTGACAACCGTCCCCCAACCTCTGACCAAAAGAGAGAAAAGCTGTAACATTGATTTGTTTTGCTTGGAAAGAATAAGATTATAAACTAACAAATCAAAATCTTGACCTTGAACAGTAATTGAGGTGTAGCTGATGGTCCAGTGACGAAGGCTGTGTGCACCCCCTCCCCCGCCCCATTGCTTGAGATGGGAAGGATGTTCTGTTGCCTGGATGCCCCTGGTTCCTCACAGGCCTGGTAGCTTGGATCCGTGCTTCCTAAAAGACCAGTCTTGCAAATGCTGTTTGGAAAGTACTTGAATGTGACATGAGCACAGGGACAAAACCTTTGGAGGCCCTGATTTTAAAATGAATTCCCTRTCCTACTAAGAACCAGAAGTTACTRGGGGAATGTCACTCCAGGGGCTGCTGGGGAAGGGCAGAAAGGTTRGACCCCCGCCCCCGCGMATSGCCACCTGAGCCACGACAGTYCCTGGCCTGCGGACAGGGCTTGGGACTGACGGAGCAGTGAGCAATGCCCTGCCCAGCCAGAAAGGCAAAGGGAGGACACCAGTTGTGTGCTTTTAGACAAGTGAAAAGGAGGTAACGTTTTTTAAAAAAAAAAAATATATATATATATATATATTTTTTTTTTTTTTAAGAAATTAGTGACTTAGAACAATAAGAATATGAACCCCACCCAGGTAGCCATCTACCCACACTGTTGCAATACTGAAGTAATTCTCACCAACCTCTCACTCCGCAGGTCCCCGATTCCACACGGGCATGGCTGCTCTGGGGTCTTCATCYGGCAAGACCTTTATTTTATAAAATCTAGTGATGCTCATTTTATTTCATAAGCTGCATTTTTACCAAAAAGTTCTGACTTCTTGGTGACCAAACCTTACAGAAAGCACTGAAGGATCTTTCCAGACCACTTCAAATCATGGACTTATTTAAATAGGGGCACTGCCAAGTCAGGACACCAAAACTATGACATCAAGGGAAAACTGCCTGTGGACGGGTGACTCCAGGGGAAAGGGCCACAGTTAGGACGTGGGACTTCACAAGGCCAATTTCCGCCCAGCTCTGACAATGGACTGTCAGCTTTTGAAAACCAGACTTGGTTGACATCAGCGGGTGGGGGTGGGGGTGGAATCAAAGCACAGCTCTGACTGGAACCCAAGCTACTCGAAAGAGGTGTTTACATAACACCCTAAGAAACGCACGAAGTGCGGCTCTGCTCCTACTCGGGCCTCAGTGAGATGCAATTTTACATTCTTGCCTGAGTGTGAATTTAGACTGGTTCTGTTTGTACCATTTAGGGGAAATCTCATTAAAATGTATGAGCTGGCATGGTAGCTGAAGCCATTGCCATCTGTCACTGGAATCCACACACCTGTAGGTGGGGTGTCTAATGCTGAGGCTTTGGGAGGAGAATGTGTTGGAAAACTGGCTCTCCCTCAGGACAGCCTGAACCAGGTCTGCCTGGTCAGGCCCCAACCATGTGCTCTGATGCTTCCTGGCGCCGGCTGGTTGGTCCTGGTGGGAAGGGGCATGTTAGCCCAGCACTCAGCACTCGACCTAGCACAGGGAGTGTTCAGTAAAAGTTCATCTAACTTGGGAAACTTTGTCAGGCCCCTTTGTAAAAGAGGCCGCCAACGCCTAGGATTTTCAATTCTGGGTCTAGAAGGCAGCTTTTTGTATCTATCTGAGCTCACGCGTCAAACTGACTTCTGTTCCTCTCAGGGTGTAAATGGAAAAAATTGAGATCATTACACCTAGGTAAGGACGTTTTAGCCAAACCCCCTCCATCCACTTTTTTTTTTTCTTTTCTTTTAAGTAGTTATTGCTAATCTGGAAGAAAGCCATGAAATTTCTGAGAGTGAATACCTTCCTCTTCAGCAGCAGGTTAGTTAACTCAATACATACCATGGCCATGACCCACAACTTACGTTGTATTTTTCATTTCGACTGAATTCAGCTGCATCATTTCAAGGACTCCACACAGTGACTACCAGGGAGAAAAAATGCCCACTGTATGTGGAAGGCACCTTTTCTCCCCGTTACCAACGGCAGCACGGGGGTGGCTGCTGGGCTGCTCCTGCAGGTTTTAGGGAATGCATGTGTGGATTGTCAGCAGAGCTGACCCTGGATTGGGAGGGTCAGTGGGTTGGGAGGCATCCCTCAGTCGGATGGCTGGGCAAAATTTTAAGGAAGACCACTGACACCATAGTCCCTCCTTAAAAACATCTGCAGGACAAGAGTCCTCTTACAGGAGGGCCTTACTTATTCCAATAAAATGTCAGGTGCATAGACTCACACAACCTCTGCTCCATGAAATTTATAATCTGGCCTAAGAGCTTCCATCACCTCTGTCAGGTTCTGAAGTGATACAGTAAATCTGAGCTCCCCCAAAGATGCCTAAAATGCATATTGAACTCATCTGACGGAATCCTGGTGCTGGTCTTGTGACTGGTGTGGGTGACGGTTAGGTTTACCCCATCTCATAAGGCAAGAACGCAACTCAYAGCGACCCCTAGGCTAGGAAAGGTCGGCCTGTCTAAAGTCATCAGTCGGAAGGTTCTGAGAGCAAAGGCTAAAGATCTGAAGGCTTCCCCCCACCTTGTCCTGGTTCTTTTCCCTAAGGAACCTCTCTGAAAATCTCGTGCTAAAGCCCTGTTTATCCAGTTAATGAGCTGCCAGGATAATCTGTGCTCCAAAACAAGTAGTGACCTAATAAATGCCTAAACGCAGAGAGGATTTACTGAAGCAAAATTATCTCAAAAACCATTCTTTGTCTTACAAGAGCTTTTTCTGAAGCATTAGGTTTATGATGGTCATTCAAAAAGAATAATAATAATAAAGATTGTCAACTCCATTCTCTTAAAATGTCCCTCACTGATTTGACTTAAGGGTGAAGCCTAAACTGGTTGGACATATTGTTTAAGCTGTTATTTGATGGGGAATTAGCACATGTGATTTACAGGCTGAAGGCTGAAGCAAGAGACCAGGGTGGCTTCTTAATGACTCAAAGCTGATGTGACTTAAGGTACCAGAGGACCACTGCTTCAGGGAAAGATAGGACCTCAGAGCTGGCTGAGGTTCACAGCAACCCATATGTCACACTGGCCTGGGCCAGTGACTCTAAGTAGCACGTGCAGTAATAGCTGTCCTGCAATAAGGTGTTTCATAAAAATGGCAGGCATGACAGCCACTGCAGTAAATAGAGGGCTGGTAATTAGCAGTCAAATTGAACTTCCCCTAGAAGAGAACCGGAGCATAGACAGATTTAACAGCACACSGTGAGGGGTCCTACCCCTCCTGGGGCAGTGCTTCCCTGCTGAAAGCAACAGACTGACCCAGAATGGGCAGTCCATGCACAGCCTTAAGCTTCCAACAGATCAGGAAATATCCCGCATGACCACTGCAGCCATGGGGATGCAGACATCAATGACAGCTTCCAACCACTGGCTGCCCAAATTACATGGGAAACYGAAACAGCCACGTATCTTGTTTCTAGATTGTCTTCACAAGAGGACGCATTCCCGACACCCCAGCCCAGATGCCTTAAAGAAAATCCACTACATCTGACCTACACAGAAGCCACCTCTGAGGCCTGTGAAAGTACACAATGTGTCCTCCTAACAGTGACACAATTCCAGCCTCAGCCAGTTAAGGTATCTTCCAACACAATGATGAACAAAATGGGTCTAATTTCACCATGCCTCTAAGTGCTGGGGAAGGACGTATCTAGTGACACAGAAAGTCACAGCTCTAGTGAACTCCAGCACCTCCACTTCATGGCCGGAAACTCTAACTGACCCCCATGAAGCTGGGTTTTAGCCTAAACATAAGCTGGAATTTGTTTAAAATTTTACATTTACCTGGTCATATTCAAAAATCAATTTTAAATATCCCAGTGGTCTCACATAATTTGAATCATAAACTCACTCGGTTGAGAACTTTAAGTCAGACCCTGAATTATGAATTAAGGCTAATGTCGTGCTGTTCCAGGAAWCCCTGACTTGCCGTCCCTGCCCAGGCATCGGGCTAGACACAGTGACGCYAGGCCAGGCTGCTCCAAAGGGCTGTGCCCACTCTTTCTCCAACAAGCAGTGATGTGGGGCTTGTCGCAGCAAAGGACCCATGCCCCTGGGCCACATTTTAAAATCTATCTAAAATTTCCCAAAACTCAGTACCAAAGAGAAATAGTATTTTAAGGACCTCACCTGTTTAATTTAGAACTGAAATATTCTACTCCACTGCTTTGATTTTTTCCCACCAAGAAGCTCCTCCCCTCACCTGCCTGCTCTCTGTTGTCTTCCTAGAACAAGGTCCACATCTCAACATCTTTCAGGACTTGCTCTTTGTTCGTGGCTCAGGCCTCTGTCGTTTTTCTTCCCACCAGTCTACACCGTTCCCCGAACAGCCTATTCCTGGCTATGTCCCTCAGCCACATGGGTTTTCTGATGCTCTATGTCCCAGTCAGTTTTTTTACTTAACTTTATAAAACCCTGAACACAACCATCTGAAGAACTGCAGCAGATTCACATCCCAGTTTCCAACTGCAAACAGGGAAGGGAGGAGGCATCTCATCATGTAAGTTTGTTTCCATGAGAAGTTTAATTTTCCTGCCCCTCACCCTAGGCTCCAGTCATCTCTGTCCTCCTTTAAAGTAAGTCTGTACATACTGGAAAAATTTTGAAAAGGCACAAAGTCACTCTCTTTCCCAGTGGGCACCTTCCACAGAGGTGGCTGTGGYGTTCTATAATGAAATACAGACTCAAGAGTCAATGCCACCAGCAGAGAGGAGTACCAAACCCAAAAGCCAAGAATACCATTTCCAGATGTAGCTCCAGCAGTATGTGACCTGCAGAGTCCAATAATCGGATAAATACTCACGCAAAACAAAGTTCAAGGGTAATAAGTTACAGCTTAAATTCCATCTTTAACTGGTCCTCCTTCTCCACCTTCATTCCTGATGAAGACTTTTGGGCTGTACAAAACACAACTTGGCGTCAGGAGCCAGAGAACCATCGTTCAAAGCAGCAAACGTGAAGTCAGGATGTGCCCTGAACAACTAACTTTGTGTTTTGCTTAGACTATGAAACACTCCCAGCCCGGAGCCTACCAGCTCTCCCAGCCCAGGCCAGATGGCCTCATGTCTTCTTCCCTGGGTCACCTCGCCATGTCTTTCAATTCAGAGCTGCTTCAGGATCCCTGTAACACAAAAGGGTGCCCTCTGCTCTGTAGTGACTCTCTCCTCCATTTTCCTTCTGTAAGGGGCCAGATTAAGACAAATTGGTGCTCTGGAGGCACAACCCCTGGGCCCGTGGATGCCTGAGGGCTCTGCAGATACCCCCTGAGGGAACAAAGGGAGTCAGGACTTTCAAGTTCCCTCCAAACAGGCAGAGAGGCTCATCCTTATTTGCTTCTCTCCTGTAGAACTGGGCCCACAGCAGAGGGGAGTGGGTTTTCACCTCTATAAATATCAGCTGTATATTTTCTCATTTTTAGCCCACAATTACTGTGCATCTCCCTCTTGGTGGTGGCTCAGGGTGGCCGTGGCCCTGAGGACAATCRTGCCTCTTGCAGTAGGGCGAGAAGCAGAAAGAAGCTCTAGTGCAGCACAGGGGACCAATCACGAAGCCCCTTACTCACAAGCCAGCATTTCTGTGCAGTGAGTCCCAGGCAGATGCTTGGCTTTGCGGGCTCCCTGTGACCTGTGTGCATTTACATCCCAGCTCCCAAAGCAGGCTGCTCGGGGCCCACTTAGATCCATAAAGTGCAATGCGTTCGCAAAAGCAAACAATTCAAAATAATGACCAGCATCTTTATGGTTCTATTAAGCTTACCATTATTTTTTGCTTCCCCAACTCCAAACTCCAACCCCCCCCTAAAAAAAAATCCCACTATGGAAGAGCTTCACAAGTTAACATTTGTTTTCATAAAACAATGACAGCTGTCTTCCTGCATAAGGTATGAGATGCATTTCTTCATCTGCTCCAACTCCTAGAAACTAAGGTCACCGTTTGCATAGGTAGACTTCATTCTGTGCAAATCTTACTAAAGTAAGGCTATTGTCCGTGTTCAGGTGGTGTGATCGTGACGATCAACAAAAGCAACAAGAAATAATTCCCTGCATTCCAAATTCTCCCCACCTACACGTGACTTCCCAGGCGGACAGCTGAGACGGGTTTTCCTGCACCATAAGGCAACATATGTTGAGAGGACACAAGTCCTAAGTAAAATGCAAAGGGACATATGACGTGCCGTGTGACGGAGGTGAGAGGAGCTCTGTCTTTATTCTTCCCTTTTATAAAACGGAAGCCAAACACTGACAGCAGGRGCATCCATGGGTGGCAACTGTGCCTTCTTCACGTGCTGCCCCAGGGCCAGCCCTCTGCCACAGGGCACCTCTGGGGATCACAGAACCCCAATATTTGCTTTGCTCCATCTGAGCTGCACACAGCATGACTCCAAGGGACGGGAAATAACAACCCCAAGTGGGAGGAAAACTGAGCAAAGAAAACCCGCCAAGGGAGCCATCAGCTCATGAGACTCACATTCCATAGGTGAGGGGGTCGACCCAGCCAGGGAGGAGGCCAGAAGACCCCTCCCCGCAAATCAAGTATCGTCAGGAAATATCAAAGTAGAAGTTTCTGGTAAGCAGCTTTGCATTGAACATTCAGTCTAGACACTCTAACCTTATAAAACAAGAATCTCTATTAAAATAACAATTTTTTAAAAAGCTAACAACATGAGTCCTCGAAGTCACCCAGGATCTTGTAGCACAGAATGGAGTGTTCCTGGGCCAGGGCGGCGAGCTCCTTCAGGAACTCGGGGAAGAGGGCGGCGGCCAGCATGGTGTTCCTCACGGGCAGGGGCAGGTTTGGGGGTGCCCCCACCACCTTGGCTCTGTTGGTCAGGAAGGGCTGAAGCACTCTTGGGGGACCATCCAAAAAGTTCTTGCCACTTCCTGTCCTGGCAGCCTCCTGAATGGGGTCTGTAAACAGAAAGAAAACTGTCATGGGGACGGTGTGGGTCCCTCCCCCTGCCCTCTTCAGTGCGTTTGCAGGGTAGGAGGAGGGGGGTTGTCAAGAGTGCAGTTCCTCCAAAGTCCCAAAGGCACAGCACTCCTGGCACATAATCTGCCCAGCAGACAATGTCCAGCATACAGCTCGGGATAGGAGATTTTATCCAAAATCCTAAATGAGGATCTAGTGCAGACATTGTGGCAGGAACATAGGTTGGGGGTCTGGGGTCGTGGCTCAGTGGTAGAGCACTTGCCTAGCATGTATGAGGCGCTGGCTTCAATTCTCAATTAATTAATTATCAATTAATTATAAAAAGTATTATGTTCATCTACAACTAAAAAATTTTTTTAATTAAAATTTAAAAAAAAACCTAGGTTGGTCAAGATACCTCCCAGCAAGAGCAGTGGCCCACAGCTCTAGCCCCAGCTGAAGGAGGGTGGCTGAAAAGGGATAACTGGTCAGGCCCAGGAGTTCAGGGCCAGCCTGGGCAACACAGCCAGACCCTGTCTCAAAAAGAATACGAGACAGGAACCTGCCTGCTGCCCAGGATGCGGGGCGGGGCCAGGGAAACAGGCCTCTCCTGCCAATGGCATCAGTCGGGCGCAGGACTGGCTTGCCAGGGTGTCTCTTAGGACACTCAGTGGCTCACTGCTCTCCCAAGCTTCCAGGTGAACTGACTGTCCACCTTCACCAGGGCAGCCCTGGTCACAGGATGCAGGGCCAGCACTCRAGCTCGGTGCTCTCTGCATCTGCTGCTCGGCCTCAAGGGCTTCCCAGTGAACCAGTCTCCTCCTGGCCGAGTTCTCCAGCCCTCAGTGCAGAGGAGAGTGGAWGATGCCTTCTGATCACCAGAATAATGCGGAGAACATTGGGATGCTGCAAAGAGCAGCCCAGGAACTCCTGCAGCCACYAGGATCCCGGGCGACACGCAGCTTGGCAGAAGCTGACATTTAAGTAGGGTTTCCAGGGGGTTCTTCTGAGTTTCAGTAAGGCGAGTCTTCATGATATGAGCCCAAGTTCCATCATATGCAAGTGATTTGCATTTTCATACCAACTCAGTTTTACTAATTAAAATGGTTCACTTCCCTGACTATTTAATTCCTGAACATCTCCAGCCCTCGTATATTTGTAGGAATTATTTATGCCACCTTCTGCCCCCTATCCAAACGGTCTCATTACTCCTTTTAAATCATTATATTCAAGCTCTTCATTATTTTGGCTGCTTTTTAGAATTCAGCTCCATTTTTCAACACTCTTCTCAGAGTGTTGCTTAACTGCAGTACTAAAAATTCTTGACATTTATAGTACTTTCCACATTGCGCTCCTATAGTCTTCAGTGTCAAAAAAAAATCCTCTGCTTACTGCTTTAAATATCCTTTTAGATTAAAGCTTATCACAGTTCGTGTCATAAAGAACTGGAGAAGCTGTTRAGAATCTGTCTTCCACCACCTTTCAGGAGAGACTCCTACAAGGCTGTCAACAGAAGTGTTGAGGTGACTGAGATCTGTGTCACCCTTGGGGGCCATCCCTCACCACCCCACCTGGCCCTCAGGCACTGCTGCTTTCCAAAGGGCCCATGAAGCCCCTGGGTCTGTGCTGCCCCTCTGCTGGGAACTCCTCCCTCCGCATCTCTCCTCATCCAGATCTTACGAGGCGCACGAGGCACACAGTGGTTAAGAGCACCGACTGTCATCGGCCGGCTGAGCTGCTCCAGACAAGCTGCTTTACACTGGGTACTGTCCCCTCCTTGCTGGTAAGAAGCTCTCGTGTTGTTACTGTAAGGATTAATCAAGGACACAGGGCCCACTGGTGACCCTCACTTTGTCACCAGTTCCTGCCCCTGGAGGCCTTCCCTGTGCCTCTTCTGCCCATTTTACTGTCCAGCTAAGGCCTGGCTGCTCTTYGGCCGTGCTGTCCAGCTCCCGTCAGGCTCCGTGCTTCCCCAGGGCTGAGTCCCCACCTGATGACGCGTCTTTCCCGACCTTTAACACCTCCCTCRGAGACGCTGGTAAACATTTGCTGAATGACTGAAGGAAGTGACCAACGTCAGTGCCTGCATACCCCTGATGCTCCCTGGGCCAGCTCGCAGTCCTCKCTCCACTGTCCTCATTCAAATTCCCTCCTCTCATGTCCCCTAGAAGGCTTTTGTGGCTTTATTTATCTAGCTCCATCTATGAATAAAAAGTGTCATCGCTAAGGCTTATTTACCGAGCTTGAATTCAAGACTCAAAACTGCCTTCGCTGATGAAGGCAGAGCGTGCCAGCCGGGCGAGGACCAGCCAGGGGCAGTGTCCTTAACAAGGTTCCACCAGCAGCTGGGCAGACCCATGCAGGCTMGCCACCCGCGTGTTGGCTTTTCAGTGTGTCATGAAGCACCAGCGAGCTCCCGAGTCAAAGGCAATCAGACCCGAGTGGCCGACCCTTCCTGGCAACCCGCTCATCCCGAAATGTCTCCCTCTCCTTCTCTATAGATGGGATGTCACCTACCTGCCCGCCTTCCCTTCTAGAGTAAGGGCTCCGTTAAAGGCGTGATGTACAAGGAAAGAGAAGAAACGACACTGTGGCTCTTCACAGATTGAGGGGGGAGAAKCGCCTGGAGAGCGGCTGCGCCTCCCAGACCATCCGTCCCAAGACTGCACCAAGGCAGCCGGCCACGGAGGCGGCCTGCTCTGCTCAGCGTCCTGTTCCTGCTGCAGCAAGAGGAAGTGAGGAGCTGCCAGGAGGCGCAGGGGACCCAAGTGACATGAAGGCAGCTTGGTGCAGGGCCTGAGTCACAGCCCTAGGAAGAAGCCTGACAAGCCAGCCCAGCCCCTGAGGCAGAGACAGGGAGGGCAGGTGGGCAGGGCAGCCAGGACAGAAGTGGCCTGAAATGCGAGTCTGAAAAGCCGCCACAGAAGGTGCTCAAGACCAAGACGGGAGGGTCTCAGGAGTTGGGAGGGAACCGTCACCCGTGCAGCTGGGGACAGTGGTGCCAGGCAGAGGCCCCAGCACAGACCCTGGGCACCCTTCCCCAGATTCTAACTGGAAGGTGCTCTGTGTCCCCGTGGGAACAGGACTCCCAGATTCGACTCATTTGCAGGTGATCGTGTCCCAGGAAGTGCTACAGAAATCCGCTTTTTAGAAGGGACAGGAAACCATCTCACTCTGAGAGTGTCACTTTGCTAACCTGAAAGAAGTGAGGGAACTAATCTCAAAAACTTCACTGAAAAAGAAGTCGGGGCTGGGTTGTGGCTCAGTGGGAGAGCGCTTGCCTAGCGCAGATGAGGCATTGGGTTCRATCCTCAGCACCACATAAAAATAAACAAGGAAAGAGAAGAAACTGACACTGTGGTTTTTCACAGATTTGAAGGGGGAGAGAAGGTATAAAAAAAGTTATTTAAAAAATTTACAATAGCCTAAAAAAAAAATACTTAGGAATCAACCTAACTAAAGAAGTGAAAGACCTCTTCGACGAAAACTATAGAATGTTAAAGAAAGAAAGAAGAACTTAAAAGATAGAAAGATCTACCTTGCTCTTGGATAGGCAGAATTTATATTGTCAAAATGACCATACTACCAAAAGTATTATATAGATTTAATGCAATTCCAATCAAAATCTCAATGACATTCCTCAGAAATAGAAAAAGTAGTCATGACATTCATCTGGAAAAATAAGAGACCCAGAATACCTAAAGCAATCCTTAGCAGGAAGAGTTAAGCAGGTGACATCACTATACCAGACCTTAAACTATCCTACAGAGCAACAGTAACAAAAACAGCATGGCATTGGCATCTAAATAGACCTGTAGACTAGTGGTACAGAACAGAGGACACAGAGATTAACCCACATAATTACAGTTATCGTATATTAGACAAAGGCAAAAACACACACTGGAGAAAAGATAGCCTCTTCAACAAATGGTGCTGGGAAAACTGGAAATCAACATGCATCAAAATGAAATTAAACCCCTGTCTCTCACCATGCACAAAACTCAACTCAAAGAGGATCAAGGCCTAGGAATTAAACCAGAGACACTGTGCCTATTAGAAGAAAAAGTAGGCCATCATGTCGGATTAGGATTCAACTTCCTTAATAAGATTCCTATAGTACAAGAATTAAAATCAAGAATCTATAAATGGGATAGATTCAAACTAAAAAGCTTCTTCTCAGCAAAAGAAACAATCAGTGTGGTGAATAGAGAGCCTACATTTTGGGAGTAAATCTTTACCTCTCATACATCAGATAGAGCACTAATCTCTAGGATATTTAAAGAACTCAAAAAGATAAACACCAAAAAAACCCACAAATAACCCAATCAATAAATGGGCCAACGAAGTGAACAGACACTTCTCAGAAGAGGATATACAATCAATCAACAAACGTATGAAAAAATGCTCATCATCTCTAGCAATTAGAGAAATGCAAATCAAAACTACTCTAAGATTTCATCTCACTCCAGTCAGAATGGCAGCCATTATGAATACAAACAACAATAAGTGTTGGTGAGGATGTGGGGRAAAAGGYACACTCATACATTGCTGGTGGGACTGCAAATTGGTGCAGCCCATATGGAAAGCAGCATGGAGATTCCTTGGAAAACCAAGAAAGGAACCACCATATGACCCAGCTATCCCACTCTTTGGTGTATACCCAAAAGACTTAAAAACAGCATACTACAGGGACACAGCCACATCAATGTTTAAAGCAGCTCAATTCACAATAGCTAAACTGTGGAGCCAACCTAGATGCCCTTCAGATGAATGGATAAAGAAAATGGAATATTATTCAGCATTAAAAGAGAATAAAATCATGGCATTTGCAGGTAAATGGATGGAGTTGGAGAATATAATGCTAAGTGAAGTTAGCCAATCCCAAAAAACCAAATGCTGAGTGTTTTCTCTGATGTAAGGAGGCTGACTCATAATGGAGTTGGGGGGGGACATGGGAGGATCAGACGAACTCTAGATAGGAAAAAGGGGTGGGAGGAGAAGGGAGGGGGATAGGGCTAGAAAAGACGGTGGAATGAGATGGACTTCATTACCCTTCCATGTATGAATACACGAATGGTGTGAATATACTTTGTACAATCCGAGATATGAAAAATTGTGCTCTATATGTATAATATGAACTTCAATGCATTCTGTGTCATATATGACAAATTAGAATTTTAAAAAAAGAAGACTTAAAAACAGCACACTACAGGGAAAACGCCCAGGTGTGAGTGACGCCCACCTGCCCCCCACCCCACACCCCAGCATAGGTCAGGCTGTGTGTGCACCTGGCTTCATGAACCGAGCAGGACAGTCTGGAGCACTTGAGCTCCATTACCCAGGCTGACTGCCCAGGCCTCAGATCTGGCTTCTGCACATGGAAATGGAGCTAAGGGGACTTTTTGTGCCCGTGGYACAGGGCTGTCTGGCAATAAAAACTGACTGCCTGGGAAAGCACTTGACCAACTGTCAAATGCAAACGAAGACTGAGCTTGGGTAAAGAGACAATGTAAGGGGGTAGAGCCACCTTCTGTCTAGTGGACTGCRGGAAAGGGCCACAATTCTTTCCAGCTCTTCCCATGAAGAAGGGGCTTTCGCTCCATTCTTGAATCTGGGAATCCAGAGACTTGCTGCAGCCAGCAGAGAGCAGCAGACTTGACCTGTGTGAGCCTGAGCCCCAGGAGATTATCCACACCCCTGCTCTCACTCTTGGAACCCACTGACAGCCTGGGCTAACCTGCACCATCCATCATCCAGCCACCCACCAAGAGCATCCTAAGTGGGTCCAGGCAAAACCAGCTGCACTGGGCCCGGGTCAGCAGCACACGCAGGTACACATGCACACGCACACAATCACAAGTGGCCGTTGTAGCACTGAGTTCTGGTGGCGGTCTGTTACACACAGTGCTGACTGATGTCTCCCACGAGGTGAGTCACCACGCTAGCTGCCTGCTCAGGAGGAGCACGGCTAGCAGACTGACATCCACGTGTCGAAGAGAGGACACAAGGGCTTCAAGTTCACACTCCCACCAAGCTCTGAGGTCTCCCTTCCCTCCCTGAAGGGCCTTGCCTGCTCTTCTCTAAGCCCAACAGCTCAAAGCCTGGCYCCTCATTCTGCCAGTGGCACCTCGCAGTCCCCTAAGGGCTCATCACCAGCAGAGTTCTGGCTGTAGCCAGAAAGAACCTGAGGGGCAGGGAGAGAGCAAATTCTTTATTTGAAAGTCAGGGAGGGGCTGGCAGAGCACATGTGCGGCATGCTGGAGGCCCCAGGTTCCACCCCAGCACCCAGACAGACAAAGAGGTCCAGGGACATGGGCCCCATGAGGCAAAGTGACCAAGATCAAGTAGCTACAAAGAGGCAGGATCTGATAGTGATACAGAGTTCTGGGTTCTTTTTCGGCTTCTTTTAAAAACTTAAAACTTGCCCTGAATTAAATTTCAGCCTCTCATTCTCAATCTTTTCTCTGATCAGCTGCCTTTAGCCCAGGAGAAAGGGCCTTCCTCTCTCTAGTCCCCTGCCAAAGAAAGCCTGGCTTGTCCATGGGTGGAGGGGAAAGGCCAGGGCAACACTGGGCCTCTCCTACTGTGCTCCCCGGGGCCTGCATCACAGTTCAGAAGATGGCAACAGTCACAAATTTGTCACCCCAGAGCCTCAATGAGGCAAAGCCAGGTGCTCCCAAGCCTGGCTGGCCAGCAGTACCCTTCTCAGCCCTCCTCTGCAGCCACAACATACCACCCAGCGGCTTCCTGCTCTGTCAGGCCCCTTTCACCCCCCCCCCCCACACACCCCTCCGCCAGAGCTGATAAAAAGGTACTGTCCAGAATCTCAGCGCACACCTGTAATCCCAGCGGCTTGGGAGGCTAAGGCAGGAGGATTCAAAGCCAGCCTCAGCAAAAGGGAGACCTACGCAACTCAGTGTGACCCTGTCTCTAAATAAAATACAAAATAGGACTGGGGTGTGATTCATGTGATTCAGTGGTACAGTGCCCCTGAGTTGAATCCCCAGTGCCAAAAAAAAAAAAAAAAAAGAATCTTAGGCTGAACAGAGACTTTACTTCTTCCAATTGAAATGAATAGTTTTCACCTTCCAGAATCCTAAATCACATTTATACTAAAGCTCAAGAGAACAGACGCCCTCCTCAGGACAGGGCTGGCCAAAAAACAGCCCTGGGAATGCACACCGTGCCTCTTTGTGGCCGGCAGCTGCTGTGTGACCTGCTGGGGCCTGACGACTCTGCACATCAGCCCTTCCCTGCACTGCCCTGACAGGAAAAGGAGTGCCCAGCCAGATCCCAGCAGGGCAGAGCGAGGGCCGGCAGACCTCCTTTAGGTTTAAGAACAYGAAGAGGAGGTTCTTTATGTGACACCAAAACAAAACACCTTCGGATGCTCCTAGGGCCCTGGGGCCGGAGCAGCACCTGTGAGCACAAACTAGCACACAGGCAGCTGGAGGGGCAGTTTGAGGAGAGGCGGTGGAGAGGCTGGCTGACCTTTGGTTAGTGCGGCAGGGGTCATATCAGACATGTCCACCCGGAAGAGCAGGTACTGCTGGGCCTGGATGAGGAGGCCTGGGAAGTCTCTCTCCACCGAGGCAAACTGTTCAATCTTGTTTTTCACAGATGCAAGGACCTGTCAAACACATTAATGATGCTAAATGCCCCACAGTGGATCCGCTCTCGGTTATCCATACGTCTTTCAGGTACAGCTCTCATTATGGGAACTATTATGATATCAGGCATTTGCTCATTTTTAACTGCCTGGGTGTTCTTGGTAGGGCACCCTCAAAACATCAAACTAAATGAAGCTCTGCAGTTTGTCTGGACTAATCTACACAGCTAGCATAACGGAACAGGGAAGGAAAGCAAATGAATTAGGACAGTGGGATTTTTGAATAATGACAGGATTGTGAGAAAAGAAGCCCACAGATCAGCATCCAGAAAATGGGAGGGCACAGACATACCTGATAGAGAGAGCGCACGCTCGGCTGGAAGACCATGTTGGTGTTGAGCAGGAAGGAGCGCAGGAGCGGCTGCGGGTAGCTGGCTAGCTGCGTGATGATCCCAATAAGCAGCAAATTAACATGCAGAGAGTTCTCCAGCATGTTTTCCAGCTTTGACAGGACCACGCTGATGAATGGGCCTACGGGAGGAACACAAGGCTTCAGGGCTGGCTGGCACCTGGGGACATGGCCCTTCACAATGGCGGCACCACTGGAACCACAGCCCCAGACCACCATGGACCACCAGGTACAAATCCAGATGGGTCACCATATCCAGGCCTTTTCCTCCCTTAAGATCCAAACAGAAGACAAACCACAACCATAAGAAGACAGAAGACTATGCATAGAACTCATCTTTCTGACTCCATTTTAATATTTTGAAAATTATCAAGGGCCTTGAAACAAAATCAGATGAAAAATTTCATTGTCAAAAATTAAAATAAGCTTTCCCACGCTGCTTCTGTATTCTCGAGCTGCCAGTGCTCAAAACGTGACATTAATCCTTTCAGGTGGCTGTGAGTGAACCGCAGGGTGTCACGCAAACATCAGAGCCCAGTTAAAGCTCTGGAAACAAGAAGCCTTTACGGGGGGCTGGGGGCGTGGCTGGGTGTAGACTGCTTGGCTAGATGCACGAGGCCCCACTCTGCAAGACAAGGCAACAGGAACCCTCAGTTGTCGAGAACAGCAAATGCACGTGAAATAATGCCCACCACACAACAGTACTGAACAGGCCTGGGGTGCCCTGAACCCGCGCCCTGAGAGATTCTGCTTCCTCAACTGTCCCAACGTCAAACAACAGGAGAAAGAGGGGTGAACAAAGGCCCGGGGCTGTGACAGGAGTAGCCCTGGCAACACAGAAGCCACTCCCAACTCTCAGTTGAGGAAGAGAAGGCACTCGGTCCTGAGAGAGGGTCTGGTGGGTCACACATCTTATAAAAGAAAATCCACACGACTACAAAAGCAGCTCATTAAAAAAAAAAAAAAAAAAAAAAAAGTGGCAAAAAAAGAGCTCCTTTTTCTTTGGGTCACTAAAAAATTAATATGCTTTATGTCTGAGTTCACTGAAGGCCCAGGGAAAACAAGGAATAAATAAATAAGCCTGGCATTAATAAAAATTACGTAAGCATGTTTTAAATTTTTACCATAAAAATGTTCCATTAAGCAAAATCAATGAGACTTTTGTATTTCCCCCAGTGGAGCTATTGATGATGCCACAAAGCCGTGGCATATTTACAGCCAAAGCACAGGCCCCTTGATAAATAAACGCGCCTTATGAAGACTTCACCACCATTAATGCAAATTTAACAAAAACACTCTTCATCACAAGATGCTTCACTCGGAAGCCCTGGTAGGGTATGAGAGCAAAACCCTTGGCAAGGGAACAAGGTCAGCCCCAAGAGACGGGAATACCAGGCCAGGCACCATGGCACACCTCTGTAATCCCAGCAACTCTGGAGGCTGAGCCAGGAGGTTCGCAAGTCCGGGGACAGCCTGGGCAACTTAGGGAGATTTTCATGTCTTGAAATAAAAAGTAAAAGGGCTGGGGATGTAACTTGGATGTAGAGCAAGGATTAATCTTCAGCACAGAAGGGAAGGGGGAAGGGAGGGGAGGGGGAGAGGGGAGAGACTCTACAGGGGAATGACGGGTGACTCCATACTCCTGTCTGGAGAAATGTCCACAGTCTCTCAAGAGAGTCTCAAAAGCCAGAGGAGGTGCCTTCCTCGCACGTGTCCTGCCAAGCAGCCTCTCTTCTCCATCCCTGGACGGGGGCAGACTCCTCAGCCACTTTCCGTGGCAGAGGGAGTAGATGGGCCAGGGGGGTGGAAGAGCCCCTGGAGAAGCCTACACATCACCACCGGGTGGTCTGCCCAGCGCAGGAGCCCCCTGGCACCCAGTGTGAAGGCTACCAGTGACCTTCCCATCAAGAACCACAGAAACGTCAGCGGGGGCTTCTCGGAAGGCACGCCAGCCGGATTTTGGCTTTGCGGGTGGATCTCCAGGGGGAGGCTGCTGCCCTCAACCCCCAACTCTGGACCATGTCTCCCCACCCATCTCGCCTGCCCCCCTGCAGTCTCTGGCTGGGTATCTCTCTCTGTCCAGGTGTGCAAAAACGAGTCAGTGAGGACCCACTTGGGTGGCAAGAGTCTTCTGTAAACACGTCCCCACTGTGATCTCATGACTGGTCCCAGACTGCCCATGTCCTCATCCAGCCACCATACAGACCTGAAAACTGCTGACCGCCAGTGGCCAGGGGAGACCATCTAGACCATCACTACTACAAGTTGGGGAGACACAGCTTGAACCCCACAAAYGGGGAAAGTAAGTCTGTAACAGTATCTCATCTGAGTGGCAGATTTGGGCAAGGCCAGAGGATGGCCACACAACCCACCACCAACGCTGAGGTCCACTCATGGACAGCAGAGGCAATGCAGTGCCTGAGGGACGGCAAAGCACAGACCCCACGGACCCTGTCAAACCCTACTTTATTCTTAGTTGCTAGCACTTTTTTTAAAACTGGGAAACTGGTCGTCAGCTGAGATCAGCAGACAGAGCCACGTCTCGGAAAGCCACAGGTGTGCGTGGGGAGGGAGCGGCCGCTGCTTTCCCTGTTCTCCTAGGAGGACAGGTAAGCTCCCGCCTCCCGGGGTCTGGCTCCTGAACAAACCACAAAGGCTCCACAAAGGCTCCGGTGTTAAAGGCCTGGTCCCCAGACTGTGACACTACTGGGAGGTGGCTCCGGTGTTAAAGGCCTGGTCCCCAGACTGTGACAYTACTGGGAGGTGGAGCCATTAGAAGGCTCACCTTAGAGGGAGAAAGTCAGGTCACTGGAACATGCCCTTGAAGGGGAAATGGGGACCTTGGCCCTACTCCGGGCCACCATGAGGCAAGCAGTTTCCTCCCCAGTGAGCTCCCTGCCATAATGTGCTGCCTTCCCAAAAGCCCAAAAAGCAATGGGGCCAAGCAACTATGGACTGAAACCTCTAAAACTGTGAGCCAAAATAAACCTTTCCTTCTTATAAGTTGATTGTCTCAGGTATTTTATCACAGTAACAGTTAACAAACCACCATAAAATATTTAATTTGTCAGAATGACTAAGACAATTTCCATTGCCTATCCCTGTCATTCAGTTCTCTTCCCTCAAGTGTCCTCATCCTGTGCCTCCATCGATTCTGCTCCTTCTGCATTTCCCAAATCAAAGAATGGAGCTGCCATTAGCTCTATTCTCAGCTCTGCAAATTCTAGCTTGGAAACATCTGAACGTAGACCTACACACACACACACACACACACACACACACACACACACATACACCACCGTGCCAGCTCTGCCTTAGGTCAGAGTTTCATCATTTCTTGTCTGAATTCTAGCAACAAATTTTCTATTTTAATAGAGATTAAAATTATCTTTAAAGTGATCATTACATACTATATATAATGGTATAAGGGTATTAAAAAAAAGGCCACCTTCATGGAGGAAACCCCTGTCCCTGTACCCTGTTAACAGATTTTAGTATATCCTTCCAGAAATGTTTTATGTATATAATAAAATAATAACAGCTGAATCATTGAAAACATTTATTAGGTACCCMCTGTGTGCCAGCCAGTGTTCCCAGGCACTTAATACAACCACCCTAGGAAGCATATTTATTATTTATTCCATTTAAAGATAACGCAGAATGCTGAGTGCACTCAGTTAGTAAACAATGGAACCAGAGTTTTAACCCATCTGCGGCCAGCGCTCTTCACCAGCACGCTCTCGCCTCCCAGGTGGACAGCGTGTCCCCCCTCCCTCTTCCAGCATGTTTTTCAAACCAGTGGCAGCACTCTGTGCGCTGTCAGGAGCTTGCTTTCCCATTAAGGACACGTCCTGGGGACCACGGGACCAGCACACACACAGCTGTCTCATTCTTCTCAGGGCCACCGACTATTGGATAGCTAAGGGAGTCGCGWCGATAAGCCAATCCCCTGCTGGTGGTCATCAGGATTGCTTCAGGCTTTTTCGATTGTAAACAATGCTGCGGTGAACATCCACGTAGACACCTCTTGGTGCCCAAGTGTGGCTACAGCCTTGGAAATGTTCCTAGAAACAGTTGCCAGGTCACAGCAGTGGTGACTCCTGAACTCTGACACAAGGACACAGTCTTTCACTGCTCTTCCTGGCACAAATCTGTCCCCACCCTACGGCTCTCTCCACAGGCCTGCCAGGCTGGCTTGATCCTCACGGCCCTTCCTGGCTTCAGCACTTCAAGGGCTTCTTGGTGCAGGGCACCAGTTCCCCTCTTCAGCTTGGCGCAAAGACCCCCAGGCTTCCTCTCCCACTTCTCTGCCCTGGGACCCCTGCTGTCACACAGGCTCCTCTGCAGCCCTCCTTTCCTCATCTGTTTCGCCTGGGCTTCCTTCACTCCGCAGCCCTCCTGGGGAAGCCCTCCCACTGCCCCTCAGAGGACAACCAAGTGCATCCTCACTAGGAGAGCACAGGCCTTCCCCGGCTCTCCTCTCCAAGACTGGATTTTTTCCGTTTTGTGTCCATAGCTCCTAAGTATATAGAACCTGCCAAATATTATGGTATCAATAAAAGATTGCTGAATACATAACAAATAAAATTAGATAAATGGAATGCTGTAGTTTTGTTGGGAAGTGAATTCATTTCAGTGGAAACTGGGACTCCCTGGAGAGAGGGGAGTTAACCCTAATGCTACAGAACACATTTGGAAGTTTGAAAACAAAGCTCTCATATGGAGAGAAGGGGGAGTGTTTTCTGAAGCTGTGTCCGAAGGAGAAAAAGGCACAGTTTTAGTTATATTGACCTAGATGTGAAAAACACCATGTTTTCTCAGTTCTTAGGTGCATCATATGTAAAGTGCTGACAAATTTAACAAGTGTTGTATTAGCTTTCTCTCCTAAGCTGGGCTTTGCTTAAGCATCTCCCAGGGATGATGCTCTGAAAGGCTGGCATTCTGAAGAACAGCACTTAGAACCAAGGAGGAACCTGATGTCCCACGAAAAGGCCACAGAACTAGGCTGGGATTTCTTGGTGGGCGAGAGTGGATGGGACAGGCCTCCAGTGAGACTGGGAGGTGGAAGCTTAACTTCTGTCCTTTCCCTCAAGCTGAGATCTCTGGCTCCCTCCCTTCCTCTTATCAACTAGGAAACCTGAGATGATCTAATCCTTTTTACTAATGATTGACTGATTGAATTTTAATTAAAACTTGTTCACACTGAAACGTTATCTCAGATAGAACCTCCAGCCTTATAATTGTGGAATTAGAAGCTTTCTCCTTGTTTAAATAAACCTTCAGGCATCAGTAAACAGATGAATAAACATTGGGGGAGGAGACAAGAAGAGCCCCTTAAAATTGCATTAAGCCTACTTGGCTGGACCAGAGGGCAATCTGCTGCTGTCATCCATCTCAGGGGACCCTGGAGTAGGTGAAGCACAGCCCCACACCCCCCCACCCCCCCACCCCCACCTCCTCACTGCTGGGAAGGAAAAGCATCAGCTGAGATTTCAGGGCCACCTTCAGGCACAGTAATAATGCTCCCCACTCCAGGAATGCAGCCAGTCTTCACAGGGCCAAAGGGAGGGCCCAGGGATGCCAGGTCTCAGGGGAATCCAAGGCCACAGGGCTGATAAGAGGCTATAGCCAGGACCCACCCACAGGCCTGACTCCAAGGCCACTGCTCTGTGACACTATCTTCTTCCAGCACGACTCCTTGCTACCAAACAACATTTGGGGTCCCACTCCAGCCTCCCCTGAGTATAATGGACCCTTCTCACCTGTAGAAATTCCCTTGGCACCACCATTTGCAAGTTCAGATTTTATTGCCTAATAATTAGTGACATTTTCCATCCTAATTCCTCACCCCATGCACTCATCTGCTTCCCATCCTGTCCCTTTTGCCTGGCAGGTGACGTCTGCCAGTTGCTGGCAGCGTATCACCCAGCAGATGAGCAACGGGTGCCTACGGGTCTGCTCTCCATCTTAGGGTGAAGACCTGCAGTATCTGAATGGACTCCCAAAGGTACAACCCACTTCCCATGACCTCTGATGTGAGTGCACAGCTTCTGTCACTCAGAAATGTTCTGGCACCTTCTGCATGCTGGGGACAGAGCAGAACAGACACTCCGGTGGGTGAGGGTAGGTTTTGAAAAGACAACTATAAACAAGTGCCAAGGAGAACTATATATTAGACTAAAGGAACTGGTTTACTGAATACTAAGGCTGGGTTCCCCTGTGGCTTAGTCAGTCCTATTACTTTATCACAGACTCATCAGAGGAAGTAAAATTTAACCCCTAACTTGCTAAATGAACAAGACAATCATTCTAAGAATGACAAAATAAAACTAGGAGCTCCCCTCTGCTCTTTACAACAATATTTTCACTCCTCTGTTAGGCAGATGGATAACGCTGCTCACCTTCACCTACCTCACTTTCCTGTTCCAAAATGCACAAGGATTCTCAAAAGCTGAAACCACAAAGCAATTTAAGATGGTCACCTGTGAACGGGGTGCTCTGAGTCCTCACGGCTTGGGGCCTGGCACAGGTGGTCTCCTCTCTCAACCCAAATGGGGAGCGCACAGGCTGGGAAGGAGGTTCGGCCATGAAAGAGTCGAAGTCCTCCTCGTCCTCCTCGAGGTCCTTCTCCGGCTCTTCCTCCTCCTCCCCCTTTTCTCCTTGGCCCTCCTCTCCCCTTCCTTCATGCCCCTTTGTGAGAAGCAAGGGGTCGGGCGCGGCTCCATCAGGCTGGTCCATCAGGCTCTGGGGGCCCGAGTCCAGCTCCCTGATGATCTGGTCGTAGTGGGCCATGAAATCCTCGCTCCCGGGGCTGACCTCGGCCGGGTCGGGGCTGTGCTCGGCCTCGGGGACCGGGGCTGCTGACCCCGAGTCCGACTCCGGGGCGACTTCAGGCTGGCTCTCTTGCTCTGGCTCCTTGGACGCGTCTGGCAGGGGGTCAGCGCTGTCCCTCGGCTCTTCCTCCTCCGCATCGGGCTGGGGGCCGGGCAGGGGGCCGTTGTTCACTGGGGGCGGCTGCGCCTCGGGCTGGGCCTGGGCTGGGGGCCCCGCGGGCTGCTGCTGCGACCCCGCGGCGTCCTCGGCGTCCTTCTGGGCACAGAGCCGGTACACCATCACGTCGTCCTGGAAGTCCGACTCCTCGATGTAGGGGCCTCTGAAGAGCTGGATGGCGTTCCGCTTCATCTCCTGGATGTGTTTCGGGGGGTCGACGGGGGCTGGGGGGCCGGAAGTCTCCGCCTCGTCGTAAGGCCCCGGGGAGCCCACGTCAGCCCCCGAGGAGATGCCCGTGTCGTAGCTGTCGTCCCACTCCAGCTCCGTCTGGCCCCTGTCCTTGGCTKCGGCCAGCTGGGGCCCCCCTGCCCCGAGGTGGGCGGCCGGGCAGGCGCTCTCCTCGGCCGCGCTCTGCAGGAAGGTGTCGGGGTCCGGGGAGTCCCCGTCGTAGAGCGCCGACCAGACGCGGCAGTCCCGCATGCAGCGCAGGATGTTGGCATGGGCCTCCCACAGGTACTGCAGGTAGCTGACGTCCAGGGCTTTGCCGTACTCCACGATGCAGGCCGCGGGCGCAGGGGCGGGCAGGGGATGCTCCCCGGGCCCTGCAAGAGAGCAGACAGCCGTCAGGACCAGAGCCGGGCCAGGGTGGCAGGAGGGGTGGGCCCACTCAGGCCAAGCCGGTCACCGGCCACTCTAGGTCTGGAGATCTCTGACCAAATGGTTTTGGATTAAAAAAAAAAAAAAATGTCTAGATTTGAAGAAAGACAGACAATGACAGAGAATCTACTCTCTGAGAAGACAGAAATGGCCAGTAGGGTACTGGCGGTAGCCATCCAAAAACTTATTTGACACCAGTCATTAGAGAAGTAAGAAGGCTAATCAGGGCCGCCTCTAGGTTGAGAGGATTACCTGGTGCACCTAATGGTACCTCCTATAGACTGGGTAATAACTGGTGAGTTTTCTACTTTGACTCTAAAAGTGAAAGGAATAACCCATAGATTAAAGGTAACCCAAAAATTTGGGAACTGGGTTTTCTGTAAAGAAACCCTGGATTTTAACTCATTCTACCTTCCTGGGGACTTTGGGGATATGGAAATATACCATATGGTCTCTTTAAGTCAAGTCACACTCACTGGCCCGTCATTTTAAACTGGGAATTCTATCTTACCACATGACCACTTTTGATGTTACCAGTTCCAACCTAATTACTGAGTCAGTTGTGAAAACATCTGCAATAAAGTGTCCATTTTCCCTTGAAAGGAGAAAAAGAAAGACAAGGGAAAACATATTCTACCATGTCTTCACCATCCAGATGCTGCAGTTCTTTATGACTGCTGTGGAAAGTTAGTCCTCTCAACAATCCAACATGGTGGAGGTTACTTTCCCCACTTACAGCTGGAGAAGTTGAGACTCCGAGATAGAGATAGAAACACACTCCCCTAACTGCTCCAGGGCCACCATCCAAGCACAGGCAGCCCCACCCCAACCCCCATTCTTCCTTCAATGCCACACTTTGCAAGCCTCTCCCCCCACCTCCCACAAAGATCTGAATCTCTACCAGACTGGGTGAAGATTGAGCCTTTATGAGTACATATTTACAGGTTGTTAAGGTAGAAATAATTCATTTGTACAGCTCTACTGCCAAAAGGATGGTGTTTATCTCTTAAACCTTAAGTAAGAGTACATCAAGGGGCTGGGGCTGTAGCTCAGTGGCAGACGCTTGCCTGCATGTGTGAGCCATTGGGTTCGATCCTTGGCACCACATAAAAATAAACAAAATAAAGGCATGGTGTCCATCTACAACTACAAAACAAAATTTAAAAATACATCAAAAACTGCCACCAGCTATATTTACTGAGCACTTACTACATGCCAGTCTTTTAAGAGTTACTTTAAGTGTCTTAACTCACCTGTCCTTGGAATGACCCTTCAGGGGAGGTTCTATTTCACAGATGAGGAAAAAGGCTTGGAAGCATTCAGTGATTTGCCCCAAAAAAGTGGTAGAGCCAAGACTCAGAATTCTACCTGTGAACCACTGCCCAGTCATTACATTAGCTAACTAAATAGGTGTGTGATCCACCCATTAGAGCGTTCATCTGGTGTTCATCTGGCCACAAGAAGGGCAACTTAAAACAGAGGCCAGGGACAACTGCCAAGGTGACGACCTGGTGCTTCAGTGAACACTGTTTACCAGGTGTCCGTACCCTTGTGAGCCAGAGAAGGAGCCAACCAGTCACTCACGAAGGAGCAGGATGTGCAAAACCAAGGGATATGGAATCAGAGTCTACCAGCTAACCTTGAACAAGTCAAGTCCTCTCTGAGTTTGTTCTTCATCTATAAAACAGGAACACTAAAAAAAAAAAAATAAAAAAAAATAAAACAGGAACACTGCCTTCTCCAAAGCAGCAAATGGGATCACACACAATCACATGTTTAATCTGAATTTTGAGTTATGCGGCAAGTTGAGCCACAATATCATTCTTGGAACAACTTGCATAGTAAATTTTTTAAAAAGACATCAATTTTTAAATATGTTTTTAAGAATAACTTTGGAATGAGAAAAATATAAGATATCCACACTATTGTGCCTTACAGAAAAATATATTTAAGATACAGCCACATAAATTGTTGATTTCTATGTATGCACTATATCTTGATTTAAAGACCAAGAATCAGTAAGACAACCTTAATTCCTAAAAACTGCACTTACATCAAATACTTGGATACTTTCTTGGTCAAGAAGCTCAGTTTTTAAACAGATGTCACCTAAGAGGACTGTGGCTGGGTGGACAGAACGGCATGATGGGAGGGGATATCAGAACACTGGCTGCAAACACTTAAGTCACCTCCAGGACTGGATCATTTCCTAGTGGTCACAGGACAGGCAGAATGTTCCTGAACTCAGCCGTGTGACCATTAGAGATACACAAATATTTGTCCCCTTGTTACCAGCTGCTGCCAGAGGACCAAGGTTAATAGAGGTGGCCATTTAAATTTAACTGGTACAAAGTGAACTGCAGATGACAAACAGGACATGAGTCTTAAGACTCCTGTGGGGGAGAGCATCTAGGAGAGTCCCTCACTTGTCCGTCAGATTAATCAGACAGAGCTGACACCACAAACTGCAAGTTTTATAATAAGATATATATTTAGGGGGTGGGTGCCTGGGATTGAACTCAGGGGCACTTTACCACTGACCTACCATCCCCAGCCCTTTTTATTTTTTTTTGTTTTGAGACAGGGTCTGGCTGAAGTTGCCAAGGCTGGCCTAGAACTTACAGTCCTCCTTCCTCGGCCTCCCAAGTGACTGGGCTGGGTGTGCGCCACGGCGCCCAGAGATGAGGAGACACAATTGACAAACAAGTGGGACACTGTGGGGTTCAGACGAGGGCTAGCTCCACCCTCATGACAGCCGTGGCCACACCTGTGACCCTCATTTTGTTGTAGATATCACATTTGGACTTTGCCACAAGAAGGGCCACTTAAAACAGGGGCCAGGGACAACTGCCAAGGTGACGCCCCGGTGCTTCAGTGAACACTGATGACCAAGCGTCCGTACCCTTGTGAGGCAGAGAAGGAGCCAACTAGTGACTCATGAAGAAACAGGACTCTGTGTTACTCCCCCTGCCTGAGGCCCCAGGCCCCAGGCCCCAGGAGAGATGGAACAAGGCATCCTGGGTTAAAGATTGTCACTAGTGAGTTCCTACCTGAGCCATCATGCATCCACTTTGACCACAGAATATAATCCCTCTCTTGGTTCCCAAGCGTCAGTGTGATCCCGCTGGCGCAGCAGACAGGGGTCAAGGCGAGAAGCTTGGCCGCAGACACGGAGTAGCAGTCTCTTTCCTTCACGGCCCACCTCTGACTGAGCATCATGTGATTGCAGGGGATCAGATACCTGGAAAGACAGACAGAGCTGCAACAGTCCCTGCGATGCCCTGGACCCTGCTGGGACTGGGTCCCAAAGCACCGTCAGCCCTGGTGATGGCAGCCAGGATTTGTCCTCTCCCCACCCCCACCAGCCACCAGGGCTCGCCCACCCCCTGTCCAGGCTGCTCCTCCCGACAGAACCGCCCCTCGCAGGGCATCACAGGCCTTCCCAACTTGACCTCCATGAGCTTCCTCCTTGCCCCTGGCCTCTGCACCACCCGAAATTCCCCTGGAGTGTCCTTCTCCTTTCTCTGCCTGACAAATGCCGTGTCACCCTGCAAAGTCCAGCTCCAGGGCCACCCACCCTGAGAAGGCTCCCGGCTCTCTACTCCAGGACGGAGCCGCCCGCTCCCTTCCCTCTGTCGCCCGGTCCACGAGTGCTTCRGGCCTGACTCTTCAACATGATTCACTACCAGAGGAAGGACCCGCTTCAGCCGTTTGTCCTGCACTCCTGAAAACTTGGGCTCAGAGCAGGCACTGAATGAAGCTGGCCAGCAACCGCGCTGTGTTACGGTTTGGATGTGAGGTGTCCCCCAAAGCTCACGTGGGAGACAAGGCAAGAAGGTCTGGAGGAGAAATCACCTGGTCAGTGAAGTAACCCCTGAGGGGAGCTCTGAGGGTGACTGGAGGCAGGCGGGTGTGGCTGGAGGAGGTGGGCATCGGGCGTGGCTTTGGGGTATGTATTTTGTATTGGCGAGTGGAGCCTCTCTCTTCCTGATCAGCATGTGAGCTGCTTCCCTCTGCCACACTCTTCTGCCAGGATGTCCAGCCTCACTTCACCCTGAGGAATGGAGCCTGCTGTCTGGATTGAGACCCCCCCAAATACACTTTTCCTCCTCTAATATTGTTCTGGTTAGGTCTTTTAGTCACAGTTGTGAAAAAGAAACTAGGTGATCAGGTGACTGAGAGCATCTTAGTGTGGTTATGAACCTGGAGACGACAAACCACGCCATCTTCTCTGACGCACCTGGAGCCACTGGTGGGCTTTGTGCGTAGAAGGAAGGGTGTAAGTGGCTTTCTCGTCACAGGGACAGCCACACTGCTGACTTAAACCGAGATGGAGCACGTGGGATAAAGGACCCAAGGCCAGCCACAGTGTGAGCAGGAGCCAATCCCAGAGCAGCCTGAGCTCTCAGGGGACCCGTCACAGCCTTTCCATGAGCCCGAATGGCTTCTGTTTCTGTGCTGAGCTCTAGAGAAAGAGGCCAACAAGCTGCGACTCAGGTTCCCAACTTAGGATCTGTCCCAGAGCCTGCAGACTTCGAGCTGCCTCCCTCATCCTCTGAAGATCCAAATGAGGAAACAGGAGTTGATATTAATGACCAGTCCAMTGCAGAGTCCGAGTCAAGAGGAAGGCGACTGAGTTCCCTTTCACGGTCCTCCTACAGTGAAGGTTTTAGAATGCTTTCCAGGTATGAAGTGACAAATTTGCCACCTAACCCTCAGCTCCTCCAAAAATCAAACCGCTTCTCACAGACTCTAACTTCCTGGGGTAGCTAGGTAAAGGGGTCCTGTCCCCTGTCCCCTGTTCTCTGCCCCACCCCCCACATGTCCACACTGTCACCAAACCACACCCACCCACCAGTCACTTCTGACATGGTGGCATCTATTTCCGTAAGCTCAGTTCCATGAAAGCTAAAAGCCACAAGAACAAAAAGGGCAGATGGAGGAGGACAGCACGGGAGAGGGGGCGGGCCTGTTCTAACCCTTGGCTTCACGGGGACTCATATCTGAGCCCTACGGGAGGAGCACTGTCACAGGCAGAAAACAAAGGAGCCTTCTTCCCAAGGATCTCAGCATATACAGATGCTCAGAGACCAAGAGTGACACAGGGGACAGAGGCATCCTCCCACCTCGGTCTCAACACAGCACAGCTGGGCCCCAGTGGGCACCCCCGGAGGGTGGGCTTCTCTAGGGTGGCAGGAGGGRCCAGGGTACTTGGCAGCACTAACACAAGGGTCAGAGCTGGGGGGAGCACACCGGGGGCCTCTGGACACCAAGGTGGGAGGCAGACCTGTCCGAGACCCATGCTGGCACCCTTGCTTGGGGACCCCAAGAAGCGATGACCAATGTTTGCAGGAGGGCAAGATCTGACAAGAGATGGCAGGCGAGAGCGGAGGAAACCTGTCCTGAGGTTGCTGATGTGAATTCTTCCTTACCACAGGCTGGTGGTATTCAGATTACCCAGGATTCACTGTATCCTTATTTTGGTCATTAATTATTTATGGAATAAACTGCTTCAATGTTTTTATATACTGCAGGAACTCAATGAGTACTTGCAGCTCAAACCAAACATATTTCCTGATTTAAGTTGATATACACAGATTTCTACTGTTTGTTGGAAGTGTTAAAAAAAAAAAAAGGAACACTGGATCAAAGCTAATAAAGCTATTTATCAGATACCACCAGTCAGTAGCTTGAAATTGTTTTAGAATAAAGTGTTACTAGCAATTTGCAACTTTGCAAATACATGCTTGCAGGAGAAAATAAGAATTTTCTTCTAAATAAATCAATTGAAGGGAGATCCCCTGTCGGTTAAAGAGGAGGTTCTATGAAATTGGAAATAGGGGAGTCCATTCAAATGAATAACCTCCCTAGTATTGAAGGTAGTCATTTCACAGGGTCTTTAAAATGAAGGATCCTCACAGAGGAAGGAACAGACAAACCCTACCCAACCTTCTGTCTTTCCTTCCTTAGAGGGAAAAATTGGGAATGGAATGAATGCTAGAAACTTCTAAAATGTCAAATATCAAAACAAAGTGGCTGTCCATAGCAGAAAGCTCACATAAGCACTTAGCGCAGGTATCTGTCATCACTTTATCTTATTTGTATTTATATTCAGAAAGATGTAAAAGTAGTCAGAGATTAGTTATTGACTTGAACCCATCTCCCATCACAGTAGGGAAAAAAAATGTCCACATTGTCCTCTCGGTTTTCGTTAATTCTCCAACCCTGGGTCTACTTCCTTTGTTCCTGGATATCACTCATTAAAATAAACCATCACTTCTGTCACGAGCCAATGACAAATGGAATGGTGACAAAGCACACATCCTGCTTATTGCTACACTGACGAGAAAAACAAAACAAAGCAGTGACATACAGCAAGGTGAGCAAGGCGCTTCTCCTGAGATGACAGTCACCCCAGACCGCACAGAGGCACAGAGAGAGACGGCCAGGCCGCTGCTCCACTCCTCCTCCCAGGTGCCTGCCTCACTCCTGCCTTCCCCCGCTGCACACCCCAACACTGGGAAGAGGGCAGCATTCCTCAGGTGCACACGCGGCCTCTCTCCAAGCACAACAGCCGCTAYGGGAAACTATCGGTGACGTGGTGAACACGGGCATTTCTGGAAGGAAATGCCAACCGGGATATTCAGAAACAGCATTCAGGTGTCTAGCAATTAAATTTTCACCTAAACTGGGGAAGTTCCAGGAATACAGGGGCAAATTTGTCACCTCACTGCTTGTCAGCATTGCCTGTCTGTCCTTGGCCTATCACATGTCACTTCCAAGGAGGTAGGTGACTTCTTGGTTTTCTGCTCACTAAAATATCCTCTCCTGGGGTGTCTTATTTCCACTTGCTTTTCTGATACCTTGTCAAATGAGAGAAACTTGTATCTGTTACGAATGGAATATCACTTTGAARTGTCAATGTATAAGAGCATTTGAGTTGCAATAGAAAGTGACATAAGGTTATCATTTATTTATCACATAATAAATAACTTCATTAAAAAGCATTCATACAATCTTTACTGCTCTAGGGCCTCTGAGAACTCCGAGTTTGCCATGAACGTTTGAAAGACAGTAATGGTAGCAAAAAAAAAGGATGGGTTATAAATCTATTTTTTTATGTCCTTTAAAGTTTACATGACTAGAAGAATAGAGTTTTCATTGTTCTTGCTTTGGAGACATTCTAAATGAGAGAAGATAACTGCTTTCATGAGTTTAAGGTTAAACTTTCTAAAGAATTCCCTCCCTAAATTTGTATATTTCACAGCACTTTAAAATATTTTCACATGTATCACCACACGTGATTTTCACAACCTTAAGAGGCAGCATATTCCAAAACCAGAACAGGTCAGAGCAAAAGAGCAGTTCAGAGGAAGGAGACCAGGAACAATGGCCTCTTATTTGCGTCTTCTCCCTCTCTCTCTCCATGAATTCCCCCAGCAGTGCAGGAAAATTAGACATACAGGAACGAGGGCTGGAGTCGTGGCTCAGTGGTAGAGCACATGCACTGAGTTCCTTCCTCCACACCAMATAAAAATAAATAAATAAAGGTATTATGCCCACATACAACTAAAAAAATATTAAAAGAAATAGAGGAACCATTCAATCAAGACAACCATATCGGGACTGGGCACAGTGGCACAGCTCAGTGGCATAGCACTTGCCTAGCATACAAAAGGCCCTGGTTATCCTTAGCACCACCAAAAAAAAGAGCAACTCTATTATGGTATTATGATCTCCATCATCCTCATTAAAGAAAGAAAGAAGGAGAGAGAGGAGGAGGAGGAAGGAGCCAGCTCAGGTCCAGCCTTTGGTGCATTATACTATCAAGAACTGTGACAATATGCCCTGCAGGCACTTTCTGGGAAATTACTTGTTCTTACCCTCTATGGAAATGACTAGCCCAGACTTGGACACGTTCCTATTTCAAACATGAGCTGGTTTCTCCATCTTCATAAGGTACATGTCTTGGTCCCAGAAGCGGCCTTGGCTAATGCCATCTCTGAGGATAGTTTTTAATACTACAAGCAAGGCTTGTAGTATTAAAAGAGCAGTTCAGAGGAAGGAGAGAAAAGGTGATCAGAGCTCACCTTGTAAAGGTCACTGAATGGCCAGCAAGCAACCCTGCCATCACCTGGGCCAAAGCTGTCCTGACCCACATGGCTGACCCACAGTGGAGACGCTCTAGCCTCTGGACAGGGGCCAGGCTTCCAGGTACACTGAAGAGCCAGCTGCTCTTCCTGCCATCAAAGAAGCAGTGTTTAAGCATTTAACATTAAAATATAAGCCAGTTCTACCCACCTAGGAGTAAAAGCCTGGTTTTTGGCAATAAGAGACTTCAAGAGGTTGCTCTTCTGGATTCCCTCCAGGCCTGGTTAAAGCTTCCATTGCGTCACTAGAGACCTGTTGGGACTCAAGTCATCCTTTCAGGACAGACTACCCAGGGCGCCACTGTATGACAGGATTTGTTCTCTGCTAATGCCTTAAGATTAGTTACTGATGACCTGATCTCAACCCTAAAAAGTTCAAAAACATTTTTTACTTAAAAATCTAATAGGCAAAACTCTCCCATAAAGCAGCACCTCCGTGAGGCCCCCACAACACACAGCTACCAACTTTTCTGGACTCATCATTTAACCGCTCCCTTCTGCTCTGCACCAGCTTTCAGTTGATTCTGGAGCTTATCAGGGTCTTGGAATCCTCAGGAGGTGTTAGAACAGCTTGCTGGGTCCTACCCCACAGCTTCTTGAGTCGGGAGAATCTGGGAGGAGACTGAGAACTTGCATTCCTGACCAGCTCCAGGGGTACTGCTGCTGCTGTTCTTCCAGGATCAACTCCCCCTTAATTTTCCTTAGATACCTATTTGTAAATGCTGTGACATCCACCCTAAATGCCTTCTCCGTACTCTCCACTCCAATCATGACCAGTGTGAACTAAGGAAAGCCCAGGGCTACTCCCTCTTCCCTGCTCTCTGCTTCATCCACCCTTACTCTGAAGGACGGGCAAGTGAGGGTCAGGAAGTCCTGTGAGGAAGGAGAAGGGGGCGGCCAGCTCAGGGATGCTGGCTCTCTCTTCCATTCTAACCACAGGAAGGGAGTGTCAGCGCAAACCCTGACCAACTCTCTTCAGGAGCACCTCCCAGCCCTGGCCCTCGCTCCCCTCTCGGCTTTGGGGCAACTTTCTACCTATCTCTGTTGCTGGTACTGCTGGGATGGGTCTCACTCAAGGAGTCAATCCCAAGATTCAGGATCTGGGTTCAGAGAAGAAGAGGAAGAGCAGCATGGGTTAGCCTGGGGTGTTATAGACTTACGCACTGGGGTGTGGGGTAGAACCCCTACACAAAAGCAGATGCTTCCCTTGGGGACTAGAGAAGAGCTTGGCTGGGCCAAGGCAAGACTTGGTGCCCATGAGTCTTCTACCTGCATCACCAAATCAAGTATCTCAGTAGCAGTCTGTTCCGACTCCCAATACCCACCAGCCACTGGTGAACCCTTTCCACCTGTACTGAGGGCCACCTGGGCCACCTTGAGGAGAAGTCCTGTTAGCTCAGCTGCTCCCACACCTCCCTCCCTGCAGAGTTGCACATGGAAAATGCTGATTAAATGTTTATGGAATTTAATTGAAACATGATTACAGATCTGATAGTGCACACTAGATGTGTACCACTACCAAAGAAAAAGCCAAACTGTATTCAACAGCCTTTCATCTTTGGGACAGTTGTCTTTAATAACAAAGATCCCTAATAAACATACTTCAGGAGAAAGAACTTCAACCACCATGCCAAAGAGCTTTCATGATACTTGTGAAAATTTCCAAATAGTCTACATGATGTTTCTAGGAACACATTTATAATAAAATGCATATACCCACCCTGCCAAAAAAAAAAAAAAAAACTTCACAGAATAAAACTGAAATTAACCTTGGGACCCAATGCAAAATTTAAATTGATGCTCTTGATGACATTCTTCCTCAGAAGTGTTGCTCCTATTTAGCTTACATTACCAAAGTAAAAATAAAATACTAATAGCATACAGTTAATTTTGCTTTAAAGGGAGCCACATACACACACACACAAAGGTGGGGGGTAACTCACCTTAAAACTAGTTGTAGCATCACATCTTCACAATGTAAACCGATGAGAGTTCTGAATAGCGCCAAGGACACCACGCAGAGCTGGGAAGCAGTCAACACATATTCTACTTCAGAGAGTGGAATCAAACTCTACTCCTCACAGATGGCAAATAAATCAGAATTACAAAATAAAATGTGCCCCCCCCTGCCCCCAGCAGTGTTGACGAAAAGCACACTGCTGCCAGAGACTGGGTATTCTGGACTTGCCTACGGGAGCTGCTTAGGAAGCCAGTGCCTAGAATTACAGCACCAGGCAGAAGGAGCCTCCTGCAAAAAGGCCTATCACTAAGATCCAGATAAACACGCCCCCTACAGCTCCCTCCACACACCTACTCCCCCCCCCCCCACCTCCCTCCACCTCATATGGAGCTCCTTTACAGGCAATTTGTTTTCCTGGGTCATTTTCAAACATGGCATTGCTTATTTACAAGAGAGGGATCACAGAAAATTGCATGTAACCCAGACAGTTCCCTGCAGAGAATTCAGCCCCAAGCCTCGGCTCCTCCTTGGTGCAGGGACAAATATTCTGCTTGATTCCATTTCCTACAGTGCTGAGGGTATGATGATATAGCTCCCTAATAAGTTCATTAAAAAATAACAAGAAGTCTTTCAATCTCTGACTTCCAAAAGGGAAAGATAAACTCTAGAACAGGGGAGATCTATAACGGTGCATTGCAAAATCACTGTACCCTTTGAGAGTAAGCTTCCACCAGTCCGCAGGGCTATTTAAGTAATGTAGGCTCTCATTCTTTGCACAGGAGAAAAAAGAGCTTACCTGTCTTCTAGGCAGGATGGCCTTAAAACCTGGTCAACGAAATCCACTATGGTGTTATAAAAAAAGAGCTATACTTGACCTGCCCCAAAACATCTCTTTTGCCCAGGGCAGGTCATACACTTGTAGTTAGCTGGAAGCAACGTATCCTGTCCCATTCCAAGTCATTGCCTGCACTGTTCCTTTACCTGCCATGCCTTTTTCTGCCTTTTCCAAGGCTAAATCCTTCTTATCCTCCAAGGCTTACTTCAGGCATCACCCCCCCCCTTGGAAATACTCATAATTCTGCCACCCAACCCCTCCTCTTCCCAGTATCAGGTAGTCTTCTCACCTACTGCCACAGTAACCCCTACAAATCGCTGTTGAGGGTGTTCAGCAGAGTGCTTTTTTTTCTTTTTATTACTGAACTGCAGGAGTTCTTTATTTATGTACAAGAATTATGCATATGTATAAAACTGCCTATCATTTTGTGGATTTATTTTCAATTTCTTGAGGGTGTCCTTGGAAGCACAGAGTTTTCATTCGATGATGTCCAGTTTATCTGTTTATTCTGTTGTTGCTCATACCTAAGAAACTACTACCAAGCCTACGAAGATTTACWCCTATGCTTTCTTTTAAGAGTTCTGTAGTTTTAGCTCTTATGTTGAGGTCTTTGATCTTTGATCTATTTCTAGGTTGACACATGTGGTGTGAGGAAGGAATTCAACTTCACTCTTCTGCATGTGGGTATCCAATTGTCCCATCTTTGTTTATTGAAAAGACTATTTTCCCCCACTAATTGATCTTGAAAGCCTTGTTAGAAGAAACCCATTGACCATGAAGTTTTGAGTTTAGTTCTGAAGTCTCAATTCTATTCCATCAATCTCTTTGTCTATCCTTTTACTAATACCATGCCGTTTTGATTGCCATCATTTTGACGGAAGCTTTGAAGTCTCAAATATTTACACCAAAACTGAAACTCAATAGACATTCATGTTCCCCATCACCCAGTCCTGACCACCACTCCCCTCTCTACCTTCTGTTTCTGTGAGTTCGATTACTTGACATGCTTCAAGTGAATGGCATCATCATTCTTCTTTTGTTGATCGGCTTACTTCACTTAGTACAAAATCTTTAAGATTCATCCATGTTGTAGCATCTCAACTGTTCTTTTTCCAATTTATTTTGGCTATTCTGAGTTCCTTGCATTTCCATATGAATTTTAGGATCAGCTCATCAACTTCATCAAAGAGGCCAGCTAGGAGTTTCACAGGGATGCATTACATCTGCAGATCCATCTGGGGAGTATTCCCATATCAACAATATCAAGTCTCCAGTATATGAAGATGCTTTTCCATTTATTTAAATCTTCTTTATTTCACAATTTTTATAGTTTTCACAAGCATAAGTTTTATACTTTTTTTGTGAGATTTATTCCTAAATATTTTATTCTTTATGATATTATTGTCAATAGGACTGTCTTCTTAATTGGATTTTTGGTGTGCTGAGTTCTATTAAACAGAAATAAAATTGACTTTTGTGTATTAATCTTGTATCCTCCAATCTTACTGACCTCCTTATGAGTCCTAATAGCTTTCCAGTGTAGTCCTTAGTCTTTTACATAATATCATGTCATCTACAAATACAGATGATTTTACTCCCAATCTGTTTTCTTATTTAATTTTCCTGGCTATAACTTGAAGTATATAAGGAATAAAGCTGGTGAGGCAGGTTCTTATCTTGGGGGGAAGCTCTCTTCACTATCAATACACTGTTAGTTCTGAGTCTTTCATAGATGTCCTGTATTAGATTTCATATGTTCTCTTATTTCCAGTGTATTGAGTATGTTTATCATGTCAAATGTTGTGAAATGCTTTCTCTGTGTCTACTGAGATGATTATATGATTTTTTTTCTTTATTCTGTTCATATGACATATTACATTAATTGATTTTCCAGTTTTATAGCAGCTTTGCAATCCTGGCTTGCTAAATACCACTTGGTCAGAGTGTATAATACTTTTTAAATATTCTAGGTTCTATGTGCTAGTGTTTGTTGAGAATGTCTAAATTCATAACAGGTACTAGTCTTCAATTTCCTTGTGATAACTTTAGGTTTTCAAATCATAGACATGAGTTGGGATGTATTCCTTCCTGTTCTATTTTTGGAAGAGTGTGTCATAAATTTAGATTAATTATCCTCTTTTGTAATTTGTTAAAAACAAAACATACAACATGAAATTGAACAAATTTGTGATTTCTAAATGTACAATTCAGTAATGTTAAGTATTCAGTAATGTAAAGTATCTGTTGCACATTGTTGTGCAACAGATCTCTAAAATATTTACAATGAAATTAAAACTCTGTAACCACTGAACCCCTCATTCACCCCAACTCAGCTCCTGATGGCCCCGTTCCACTTTCTGTTTCTATAAAGTCTGACTGCTTTACATACCACAGATGAACAGAATCACGTGGGTTCTCCTTTGTTGACTGGCTTCTTTCACTTAGTATAATATCCTCAGGTATCACCCTCAGCTTAACATCATCCATGTTGCAGCATCTCAAAGTGAATTCTCCTTTCCCTTGTGATTTTTTGGTTTGATATTCAGGAGTTTGCTATTTAAATTCTATATATTGGGGGATTTTTTTATTTCAATCCATTTTGATCAGAGAACATACTTTGCATAATTCCAATCCTTCAAGATCCACTGAAGCTTTTTATTTTTTAAAGTTTTTTCAAAATAACTGGAACACTGAGGCTTTTCTAGGACAGAGCTCATGATCTATCTTGAAGAATGCTCTATGTACATTAGGGAATAATGTGTATTCTGCCATTACGTGGAATCGTAAATGAATATTTTCTCTAGTGTAATATCTTAATTTCTTTAACGATCTTTTCACCATATTTTGTATTATTAGTAGTTGCTCTAGTTCTTCTAATATGCTTAAATTTATCAGACTCTACTTTAGGTTTATGCTAAATTAGTTCCGGTGAAATACAGAAATTTTGCTCCCACCTAGCTCTATTCCTCTTCCCCTCTTTGTGAGATTACTGTTAACGCATTACATCTATATGTTATAAACTCAAAGATACATTGTTCGATTATTATTGTTTTAAAACAATCATTACCACTATTGGAGAGAGGGTTATGATAGGTGGCAGTAATAGCAATAGCAGGATTTTCAAAGGGAATCGGGGCTCCAACTAAAGAGTGACCACCTAGCTGGTTATGGTGGCACACACCTGTAATCCCAGTGACTCAGGAGGCTGAGGCAGGAGAATCGCAAGTTTGAGGCCAGCCTCAGCAACTTAGCGAGATCTTCAGCAATTTAGAAACCCTGTCTTAAAATTTAAAAAAAAAAAAATTAAAAAGCACTGGGGATATAACTCAGTGGTGAAGTGACCCTGGGTTCCCAACTTCTCAGACTTTCACTTCAAAATATGCATGGAAAGAAATATGATCTCTAACATCCAGACTTGACACTGGTTCCTTGGTTTTACCTGGACTTAAGGTCTTATGTTCTCCAGAATCCTGCCCCTTGAGAAGTACCTTCTGCTAATTCTACAGAAGAGCTAACTCAGACAAACCGAGAAAGATCTCCTGTGAAAAACAGTAAGTGGGAGGGCTCTTAATAGAATAATAAATCCAATTAATCTCTATACAATTAAAAAGAAGGTAATGGATGTGAGAGAAAAAGAAAAAAAGGGTGGGGGAAGACTAGGGAAGGAAAGAAGAGAGAATATTCATAATTTCATTACCAAAACAAACTCTCCTGGAATCCAAGTGACAAGTTCCCTTCCTCCTGGGCTCTCCTTACCCGAAATGGGGTGTTGATTCGGCTGGTGAGAGTGTCTAGAATGTGGACATTCTCGTGCTGGTGCAACAGGATAAACCGGAGGAAGATCTCAAGTAGTGCTGGCTCGGAGATGCTGCGCAGGAAAAGGTCCAGGTAGGCGGTTGTGGTCATGACCTCCTCCACAGTCACCTGGGACAGAAGAGAGTGAGCACAGGTGAGTGCCTCTCCATGCTGCGACACTGCCTCCCCAAACCCAGCACTGGCCACTGCAGGACAAGCCAGACAAAGGTGCCCACCACCTACTCACATGGCAGAACACCTCAGGCTGCCTCCAAGCTTCAATTCAATGAAAAAAAAAAAAAGTAGGAAGAAGCAATTCAAGTGTTATGAAAACTATACTCATCAGATACGGTTCAAATACGTGTAATCAAAAATGGGGAAAAAAGATTATGAAAAGTATTTACATGGTTGGTTAATCAGAAAGTCTGAGATAACTTGTTTCATTATTAGTCATGCAATAAATATTTACTGGGATCTACTATGTAAAAGAAGCTGGAAACATGGAACATATTTTATGTCCAGGAACATGGACCATAACAAACAAAATGATAATACAATAAAGTGCAAAGGAGAGGTACCAAATGCTACAGATGTTCAAACATGTTTCTGGAGAGTTTCAAGTCAACTTTTAATAGTATTATTTCAAAGTACTACAAGCACTTACTACTTAATACAGTAACTGTGACTTTTTATAATACAAATTAATATGTTCTAACCTATATGATTTTCCCCATGCAGTAAAATGTCAATCTCTCAGTGAATAAGACTCTGAAGAGTCTAGTTTTTCAAAGAACTGAAGATACCATGCTTGAAGCATCAAAATCTGAACCTTAAACATTTTGATTAGGGCCAGATGCTGTGGCACATGCCTGTATTCCCAGCGGCTCTGGAGGCTGCGGCAGGAGGATCATGGTTCAAAGCCAGTCTCAGCAACTTAGCAAGGCCCTAAGCAACTCGGTGAGACCCTGTCTCTAAATAAAACACAAAATAGGGTGGAAGATGAGGCTCAATGGTTAAGTGCCCCTGGGTTCAATCCCTGGTACAAAAAAAAAATTTTTTTGGAAATTTTTTAAGGAGCACATGCTTCTTTATTCTCCTAAAAGTGTGACGTAACATATGTCTTAATGACTAGCAGTCACTGCCAGGGTCATCACTTGCTCTACCTGGGTACAGAAACATCCAGACTCAAATGCAAGAAAATCACCAAAGAAATGGTTTGAGCTTTCAGATTCCAAAAGGCACACCCTGGAAATCTTAGAAAGCTCCCTGCCGTGAGTCCAATGGACTTGATTCCAAATGAAACAGAGGGCAATACTTTTTGAGGGATTATATTGTCTCTTTTCTGGTTTATCTTCTTTCTTCCTCCTTTAAAAGTGGTAGCTATCACTTTATTATACTATTACTGTACTTTTCCTTTTATACTACATTCCTCTTCCACTTTTAATTCTCAGCTTTCAAAACCCACAGATGAGTTTAGAAACCAGATGTCCAGAGCTGCTAGATATGTGCAGATAGGCCCTGAGTGATGCATCTGTGCGTAAACGCTTGGCGCTATCTATTTTGGCTGTTCAAGTTACTTTTTTAAAAGTTCTTGGTGTTCAGCTGTTCTAGAAAGATGAGTCCAGGTGGATAAGATATTTATTACCAAATCAGCAGTCTGCTTTCTTTATTCTAAACAAGGCATGCTCATGAAGTTCATTTGTATTTGCTCTTCTAGAATCTACTCAAACTCACACGGCAGTTCCCTGAATGGCCTGGGCAAAGTCCCAAAGTACAGCCTTCCCCCAGGTTGGCACCACCAGTGRGAGCCTCAAAATTCAACTGTTTTCATCTGACTGTCTTGAAAGGGCTCCCTGTAGCCCAAACACACCTGTGGAAACAGGGAAGCATCAAGCACTTGGCAGGTGCCCACACTGAGAGGAGTGCTTCTCCTAGACCACTCCTGCCCCTCCAACAAACTGCTTCTACCCATGCGATTCCTATGTGCRTGGCACTTCTAAGGCTGTCCCTGGACACACTGTGTCTTTTTCTTCATTACTCCAGTCCCATGTCCAAATCTGGTATACAGTCAGTACTTACTCCTGAGTGAACAAGAGCCCCTAAGGATCTAGTGATTTACATTTGCCAGAGTTGAGCTTATCTTTAAATTCTTACTTATTTTCTATGTGTATCCTGACAGCCCAGAAAACTAAGGACTTTTTTGGGGGGTRCAGGGGTGGGTGAAGGTGCTGGGGATTGAACACAGGGCCTTGCAAGTGCGAGGTAAGCACTCTGCCACTAACTTATGCCCCCAGCCCAAAAAACTTTCTTTTATAAATAACTCTAAAATAATGGGTGTCATGAAGCATACCTAGGGGCAAATGAACCCAACCACTCCAAACATGTAGTCCCATTAGCTCACATCCACTTGACTACTGCAACCTTGGGCTGTTCAGCAGAAAGTTAATCCAAAATGATTTAGGCAGAAGTCTAATTTCCTAGTGAGCTTGATCACTAGAAAAAAAGTACAACTGTGTAATCCTTCCAAATAGGCCACGTGTGCAGTTCTTTAATACCATAGTTTCAACTTAACTACCGACACAGCTGAACTGACATGTCACGCAGAATTCAAGGAGCTGCTTTTGGACCAATCATGCATCATCAGATTTTCCCCCTTAAGTTACACATGACCTTAATAAGCTCAAAAGCCCAGCAATAAACTCCTTAGAACATAAGCTCCAGTCTTGGGGGGCTAACATGAAAGGAAGGCATTAAGCAGCTATTGTTTACTACTCTTAGGCTGAATAAATGGAAGATTTGATTTCTTTTTAGAAATCAAAGCTGTCATTAATAAGCTAAGAGGAATTAAGGGAGACTTGGAGGAGCAGGGTTTACATAACAGGCTATAAATATTAAAGACCCAATTTCACTAAGTATCAAGTTGCAAACTCTTTATAAATCAAGGTCACACTCACCTTAAACTAATACTCTAACCAGGAAAATCTGGTTCCCTTCCCATCTCTTCTCCCCACCACGTCCTGGGAGCCTTCAGAAGCCTTTTATCCAGGAAAATCTTCTCCTGCCCCATTATCTTACTTTCAGAAACTTTTTCTAATCCCTCCCAATAGGCAACCTCCTGAACGAGGATGAGACCAGAGCCTGAGTGTGATCACTTGAGAGCTGACCAGAAACCACCAGAGGAAAGATGCTCTGCTGTGCAGACAGCCCTGACGTGGCAGGAGCCAGACAGGAAGACAGCAGACCTCGTGCTCCAGGGACAAAGGACACTGAGTGTGAGTGTAGGGAAGACCCATGTCTCACAGATGACCACCAACGTTCACTGACTGGTTCCCACACAAACTGCAGGTAGGTATGAGCTTACACAGAAACCGCACCTTAGCACCACATCACATCAGTAATAAAGTTTAAGGATACGAATGTTACTTCATACCAACAGCAGACCACAATGACCAAAATGGCCTAAAGAAAACTGGGTTTCCTCAAATAACTGTCCTTGGCAAGATAAGGACAATTGGACCTTCAGAACCCATCTGTGTGGGCACTCTGATGTGCTTACTTTTCAGGTTCCAGAAGAGGTCTCTGACTTTATTAGTCAAGTCCAATTTCCATCCATCCTTTGAAATAAAATCTTCACCCATTTTCTCTGACCTCCTCCAGCTCTTGTCTGGGTCCCTCTTCATGCCAGGTGCCTTTGCTAATCTCCTAAATGGGTGCTTTTGAAAGGAAAGTTTCACACCCAAAAGTGGGTGAGTGGATTCAATGTATTATTGGTTCACTAACAGTTTAGACTAGATTCAAACAGAAAATGTTAATATACACTGATTGTAGTAAAAGCAAGTGCTGTTTTGTGAAACATTTGCACATATATTTTGTTGGAAATACATAAAATTCAGTATCATTTATATGTGCTTTGCTCATATTTCCAGTAAATATATATATATATATATATATATATATATATATATGTATTTGCACAGATCTATACATGTACATATGCAAATGCACAAAACACATTTCTGACCACAAGGAGTCCAGAACATCTGGCACAATTCCCATTCTATCACCCACCAGCTTGTCCCCAGGGCCTATCCTCCAGGATATAACCCAACATGCTCTGGCCTGGAAAAAGTGCACACATGGTCGATATCAGTCCTCTGAACAGGATATCAACTAGTTTTCAGTCAACTTAACTCCTTTTTATCTTTGCCTAAGAACTCCAAGTGTATCTTTTTTATTAGAATTTCAAGTTTTTCATAAATGGACAGTTTGTTTTCTTTTTTAAAAGGAGATGGGTGGAGGAGGTGACATCATGTGTCACGTTCCACTTCTATAAAATCAAAACTCTATAAAAAAAAAAAAAAAAAAGGCCAGACCCAGGCGCAGCCATCATGCCCACAATTGCAGCAGCACATTAACTTAATGCGTAGGAGTGAAATTGAGCATACAGACATCCTGACCTTTCTGTAATCAGCTCTAGTTGGGCAACTCCATTTGCATCTAAATTAGCACCAGAATCCTCCCTATAATGGCTGGTTTATGTGTGTCCTGGAAAATAAATTTCCCACCTGCTAATTGTTTTTCGGTGATCCAGTCACATTGCAGCAAACAGATGGATCCTACCTTCTGTCACTCAGGTAGGTGGCAGGCAGTGGGGTTGGGTGACTGTGGCACCCTCTCCAAGTTAGAAGCCACCTTTCCTTGGCTTTTCTTTTGATGTCAGAGGAGAAAACTAGCTAATGGCTGGTTCTGGTGGGTCACCTATGAGTCCTTACCCCTAGTGGCTTCAACCAAAGTGAGGAAACAGGTGAGACCTAGGAGAACGTGGCTCACACACAGCAGCAGAGGGGAAAGGAATGCTGGGGCTGGACGGGCCAAGACAGGGGTGAACTAGTCTGCACAGAGAGGACGGGGTGCAAGCCCAAGGCTGGTCCACCCACGCAGGCAAGGGCAGCAGCTTGAGGTACTCCAAGGACACCGAGCGCCCACAGAACATTCAAATACAGAAAGGGAAGGCGCAGACGCCCTGGCTCTCAGTGGGCAGCCCCTCAGTTCCAGCCAAAAACTCAGGACAGAAAATGTTCAATCATTCAAGGTCTGAAAATAGTCTGCGTTGATGATTCAGGCTCCCT